ACGGATGCCACTTCCGCCGCTTTGGTATTCGTTTGTGGCGCCTGTGGGTCTGGCTAGTGGCATGGGACCCGGGACAAGTATTGTGCACGGCGAGATGGTATCCGGGACTGGAATGTTTCATTAGTGCTCGTCATTTCCTGTGCTTGATTTGAGGTTCTTTAGTTTCTCGTTAAGTCAGTGCTGCTGAATATGTTGTGCTTTTTTGGCTTCCGGACAGTGATTTGTAGCTCATGAAATTTAAACCATTCTGCTCTTGATGTGTCGGCCGACACGGAAGCTCCAAAGCAGTCAAACAGCCGACGAAGCCATTGGCGCCGGTGCGTCAGCTAATAGTGCCAGCGCCGCCAGCCTCTGCCAGCCGCCGCCAGCCGATCGGTCGCGGGGGTTTGGCGTAACAGCACGCGCGTAACTGCGCAAGAGGCCGGCCGGAGGCCCTTCCTGCGTATGATCCGACGGTGAGCGTGCCCGTTCACTGGGCACCGCCGGCTCAGAGTGACACCGCCCGGGTCACATGGACACCGCCCGGGTCAGAGTGACACCGCCCGGGTCAGAGTGACACCGCCCGGGTCAGAGTGACACCGCCCGGATCACATGGACACCGCCCGGGTCACCTGGAACGCCACCGTGTCCGTCTGGCGGTGCTGGCTGCCCACCTGGCGCCGTGACCTTTAGTCGCATGTGACCACTACAATGTCTCGCGCCTCGTGAAGGGTTGTGTCGGAACGGCCACCTGGTGGCCTTTACAGCAGTTTGGGGACGGCTGGAAACGGGCGGCGATGCTTTTCAGCATCGCGACATGGCGGTTGGCACGCGATGTGTGGGAAGGGGAGGGGTGACACTGCCGCTGTCTGTCCCCGATGACTGCTGGCTGCTGTTGGGACCGACAGCGGCTGGGCGGCGCACGAGCCGCCGTGCTAGGCGGCAGGCCCCAGCTCCGTCTGGGCAGAGGCAGGGTACACACACAGCCACAGCCCAGCGTGTGTGCAGTGTCGTCACTGGGGAGCTGGACGTCGGCGTCGTTTGAGCCCCTGCTCACGGCGGTGACTGTCTCTGCGCTTCTTCACAGGGGACGAACCGATCTTTGACGCGAGGATTGCTTCTGATTCATTGGAGCACATGTGGCTTTTATGATAATCTACTCGCCTACTCAATGCTCCATGACCGCGTAGGACACCAATTTTGACGTATCTAATTCAGGTTTGATGTCTTAGAGCGCTCAGCCCGCTGTTTACGCATGTGTCGGACAAATGAAGGCCGTTTGACAAAAAAGTGGGTCTAAATGACCGCTGCATGGACGTGCCCCTAAATTCCGAATACCACCACCACCAGCCACGTCTATCGACCTTCCAGGGAAAGGTCAGCGAGAGAGCTGTGAGCAGAGTATGAATGAAGTGACAGATTCGGGACATTATATGATAGGAGTGCGTCATGGAGTGTTGTCGCACTCAGGCCGCGGGGTCTGAGCAGGGTCTGAAAAGGGTCTGAGCAGGGTCTGAGTGGGGTCTGAGAAGGGTCTGAGTGGGGTCTGAGCAGGGTCTGAGGAGGGTCTGAGTGGGGTCTGAGTTGGGATATGGGGAGGGTTGAGTGGGATTGGGGAGGGTCCGAGACGGGGAGGGTCCGAGTGGGGTCTGAGCGGGGTCTGAGGAAGGTCTGAGGGGTCTGAGTGGGGTCTGAGGAGGGTCTGAGTGGGGTCTGATGGTGAGACACGATCAAGTCTGATCAGGTCATGCTATAACCACATGATTGCTGTTGGCCAACTATACTGCAGGCCCAGCGACGCACTAACGCATTCGTCGGTTCATGACAGAGCCGCGTTCAGACTGTGCTAGTAGGCGCTGTGATACAAGTATCTGGGCGTGTTGACACTAAAGTTCGGTAATTTTAGAATTTCTTCCCCGGCTCACTTTGCACAGTGCAGGGATTCACAGATGATTTTGGGTGGGTTGGGGGTGCATTCTGTAGGGAGTTTGGCTGACTTGTTGGGCGTCCATGGTGGCCTTGAGTGCTGGCAGGAGGCAGCTGGCAGCTGCGCGTCTCTGCCGTGCGTCGCTGTCAGGTCAGGTGTCTGCGGGGTGGGCGGTGCCGGCGTTCGGTACTGGTCACCGCCGATGCTCTGCGTCGCTAGGTCTGTCTAGGCTGCCGCCGAGCACCGCTCAAGCCGCGTCGGTCCGGGCTGAAATTGACTGTTGAAACAGTATAGTTACCGCGGTGCGGATTATTCGGAGACCATCCGATTTTGCAAATCTCGGGCTTATAATAGCCGCTTATTTCAGTGGAAAAGGCAGTGAAATCTCCACGTGGCAAGCGAGTGCGGTAACGGTTCAGTTGGCTGATGCCACTGGCACAGACCACCTCTCGAGACGACCTACTTGTTCTGGCGCTGCCTCCCCAGTCAGTCAGACGTTTCCGTTGTACCTCGAAAGCTGTTATCCAAGCTATGTGGCGTGGACGTGGTGTCGACGCCCTATGCCGGCCCGGTTTTTGCGACTGACCCTTCCACCAACCGACTGAGCGCCCCCCACCCGGAGAGGGAGGGGAAGAGGGGCCGTGGTGATCAGCTGCGCCGGCGGGGTGACGGCCTGAACCGGAAGAGCAGCACGCGCCCAACAGAAAGTCGGGCGCGCTCCAGGAACTGATGGCAGCGCGGGCTGGCCTTGTCACACGATCTCTCTCTCTCTCTCTCTCTCTCTCTCTCTCTCTCTCTCTCTCTCTCTCTCTCTCTCTCTCTCTCTCTCTCTCTCTCTCTCTCTCTCTCTCTCTCTCTCTCTCTCTCTCTCTCTCTCTCTCTCTCTCTCTCTCTCTCTCTCTCTCTCTCTCTCTCTCTCTCTCTCTCTCTCTCTCTCTCTCTCTCTCTCTCTCTCTCTCTCTCTCTCTCTCTCTCTCTCTCTCTCTCTCTCTCTCTCTCTCTCTCTCTCTCTCTCTCTCTCTCTCTCTCTCTCTCTCTCTCTCTCTCTCTCTCTCTCTCTCTCTCTCTCTCTCTCTCTCTCTCTCTCTCTCTCTCTCTCTCTCTCTCTCTCTCTCTCTCTCTCTCTCTCTCTCTCTCTCTCTCTCTCTCTCTCTCTCTCTCTCTCTCCTCTCTCCTCTCTCTCTCTCTCTCTCTCTCTCTCTCTTCTCTCTCTCTCTCTCTCTCTCTCTCTCTCTCTCTCTCTCTCTCTCTCTCTCTCTCTCTCTCTCTCTCTCTCTCTCTCTCGCGCTCCCTCTCCCTCTCTCTGTCATATCATCTTCCCTTGATTTTTTGACTGCTACACGCAGACGTTTTTTACACTCCCTCTTTCTTTGCTTTTTCCGTTGTCGTCATAGGTGACTGCGTACTTCTACGCGTGTTCTTTGTGAATCAGTTGTGTGTGGAAATATTGTCCAGGTTTGCCATCATTTCAAACCCACCAGCTTGGGTGTGCACTTTTGCTGTCAATGCAGCGGCAGAGCCAGTGACTAGAGCGCTGAGGGCCTGGGCTGGTGCGCCGCTTCCGTAGTGTCTCCGGGCGTCCAGTAGTGGCCGGAGCGGGCGCCGCCGGCTCCGGCCGCACCGTTGTTAGCGCCGCTGTGTTTGCGGCCGGTGGCGCCGGCTCCCACGCGGCCGGCGCCAGCGCCGCCGCACGCACGCGCCGCTGACCCAGTTACCGTTCCTTTGTTTACACGAGTCAGCTGGCCGCGCGCGTCACGGTCAGCTGATTGGGCACGCGCGCCGGCGCTGGGCGCCTCCGCCCCGGAGAAGCGCCGATTGCCCACTGTTAGCGTTTGACCGGACTTTGTCGCGTTTTGGCCTGTAGGCGCTGTGCAGCGATCGAGTGTGCACTACAGTGTGGTCTTGGTTGTAGTACGCTGAACGTGTCTGGAGCGAAGAACTGCGCCATGAAATGAAAAAGACAAGGCCATTGATGTTACTGCACATGAAGCAAGCCAACTATTTCTGACTGGAGTGTTCTGTTGTGATAACGGACCGTATATGAAGCCAACCAACTATTTCTGACTGGACTGTTCTGTTGTCATAACGAGAAAGCTGAGGCCTGCTGGACGATTGAGCTGTCATTGAAGACGATCTATCAGTGTGGAGTGGTGACGATTCATTGTTTACTTAAAAGACCCTGTTTTCAGAAGGAAAGACTCTCTCTCGCTCTCTTTGATATGGTCGACGCGCCCGGCTTTGTTGTCGGCCCTTTGTGATACGTCCGTAACATTTGGCCTGATGTGGCATACGACACGCTTTCCATCCCGGCAAATATCATTTGGTCTCCTAATCTGAGAACTGGACCCGGTGACGACGCGGGCTTTGGCCTCGCCACAAAATCGTCCATGGCTGGCGTGCCGCGCGGTTTTCTGTCCATGAAAGGCATGAGCTATTCACGGCGGTCATTCGCCGTCTCCGTGCGGTCGCCATTGTGGGCAGCGCATTCAGATAGAACCTTGCGCTGTTGGGCTGCCTATGCTAAAAAAAACTCTTTGTTCCCGTGCGGTTACGCAGGGATCACGGATTGTTACCGTAGAACGCAATCAATGCAGTGTTCTCACGGCTCCACGTCAGTTCCCAGTGTGTCTCCGGTTTTCAGAGTAGGGCTGAGAACGTGGGCCTCTTTTGTTTACAAAAACCTGCAACATCGGACTCCGTGCCAGGCTTTGTCCGCAAAGTAGACCGCGCCGTGCGCTGTGACCGTCGGTGCCAATCTGTCCGTGCCGTGCCTGTCGCCTGTGGCGGCCCGTGCCGTCCGCCGGGGCGGGTCCAGTTCCTCAGTATGGGTTCACTGCTTGCCAAGACTGGACTTCACCTGCCGGTTGTGGCCACTCGTGCCAGCCTGCGTTAACCCATGTTATTCGCTGTCATCCTGCCTCAGTACTTGTTAGCCCGTCGTAGACGTTGATTACCCCTCGTCCAGCGGCACTGCCTGTGTCAGCTTGTATAAGCGGTGATGGGCACGTGTGTGTGTGTGTGTGCGTGTGCCGGATGCGTGTGCGCGTGCGCCGGTGTGCAGGATGTCGTTCCGACGACGGCCCGTCTGTTGCAGTGAACGTGTCGCAGCCGCCGCAGCGGCCGTGGCTGCCGCTCGGTCGGCCCTCCAGCACCCACAGTACCTGCATCTTCACCGTCATGTGCTACAACGTGCTGTGCGAGAAGTATGCCACGCGCCAGATGTACGGGTGAGTGCGGCGCAGAGGCCGGGCGCGGGCGGCGCCGAGCACGGCGCGGCACGGAGCAGCGGCGTGGTGACGGGCCCAGGGCCGTGTGGTCCGTGTGTACGGGATAACCTGGGGTGGGGCAGGCTCTGCTACTGGGCGTCGCTTCACGGCCGGGTCATGGCGGCCCAGGACGGGGACTTCTGTGGGCTGCTGGACTGGTCAGGGACTGCGTCTGGTGTGAAGATGCGGATGAACAGGGCGTGTGACGGTGGTGCCAGAGTGGGAAGAGAGGCAGAGAGACAGAGAGTGGGAAGAGAGGCAGAAGGAAGAGGCAACGGGAAGCGGTGTGGGATCAGATATTCGTCCCGGCGCAAACGACGGCAGCAGGGGGGCAGAGACGCTTGCCGCAGTTGTAAAGAAGCTGGCCCCGGCCAGACAGCAGCGGCGCGCTCTGTGTGGTCCCCCAGTGGCCAGCCGGTGTGGCAGGGGCCCGCGCCTGCGTCCCCCTCCCCCGAACACACCCACACCCACGCTACACAGCGGTCTGTGTCGGCGTGCGCCCAGCGGTACCCAGCACTGCAGGTGTGTATCCCGTCAGTGTCCCATTTTGTCCGTCATCGTCCGTGAAGCGGTGTTGCGCTGTGCCAGCCGTCGTGTCGGCCTCTAATTGACTGTGCCGGTGCTATGTCACCTGGCCAGTTAGCCGAGGCCAGTCGGTGAGCCACGATTTCAGTCATGTCACGATGTCGGTCGTGTCACGATGTCGGCCGTATCACACGATGTCGGTCATGTCAAGATGTCACGTCACGATGTCGGCCGTGACACGATGTCGGCCGTGACACGATGTCGGTCATGTCACGATGTCGGTCATGTCACGATGTCGGCCGTGTCATGATGTCGGCCGTGACACGATGTCGGTCATGTCACGATGTCGGTCATGTCACGATGTCTGTTATGTCACGATGTCGGTCATGTTACGATGTCGGTCATGTCACGATGTCGGCCGTGTCATGATGTCGGCCGTGTCATGATGTCGGTCATGTCACGATGTCGGTCATGTCACGATGTCGGCCGTTTCATGATGTCGGCCGTGTCACAATGTCGGTCATGTCACGATGTCGGCCGCGTCATGATGTCGGCTGTGTCACTGATGTCGGTCATGATGTTGGCCAGCGTGTTCCGTGTATCGTCCAGTATGACATATTTTTATTCATCCAACTAATGGGTTGCCACGACAGCCAACGCCTCCGCCCGTAAATGTTACAGCCTGGTGTCAGTGCGCTGCTGCGACTGTCATCATGTCAGGCTATCGCTGCTGCCGTGTGTTCGATGTGCGTTACCGCGACCGTCCAACGTCATGCCATCAGCAGGCTGTGTCAGCCTGTCACGGGTAATCAGTGGTATGTCCACTGTGCCGTTGACTACCAGCGGCGTGTCATTTGTGGTCACCTGACAGCTTGTGACGGTCGGTGTGCCGATGTGTCAGCCGGGGTGTGCTCCGGCGGTCGGTGTGCCGATGTGTCAGCGTGCTCGGAGGGTCGGTGTGCCGTGTGCCCCGTCCGTGGGCCGTGCAGTCAGCTGACTATTGTCCCGCCGCCGCAGTTACTGCCCCAACTGGGCGCTGGAGTGGGAGTACCGGAAGAAGAACATCATGCAGGAGATACGCAACTACTCCGCCGACATCATCACGCTGCAGGTGCGTGTGATAGCCCTCTCTCTCTCTCTCTCTCTCTCTCTCTATGGCGTGGTGGCCATCCCTGCATGGCACGCCGGCGCTCTGTCGCAGGCGTCGTGGGCGGCGGGTCCGGGCAACGGCCGCTGGCAGCGGCTGCCCGCGCGGTCTCCGTACGTCGGCCCCTGCGAGGTGACCCTCACCCAGCGGCGGGGTCTTCTGACGCGGTGCGCAGCGGTCGTCCAGGACCGCTCCCACTGACGGCATGCGTGTGGGCAGGCGGCAGCCCGGCGACCGGGCAGTGGCGCCGCCAGGCCGCCGCCCAAGCGTGTCGTCGGCCACACTGACCCGGCAGGCGCTGAGAGGTCCCCGTCGGTGGCCCGCCTCTGGCGAGAGGGCGGCTGGCGGGGCCGGTACGCCGGCGCGGCGGCATCCGTCTCGCCGGCCCCCTGCCAGCGGCCCTGCTCGAGACGCGCGTGTCACGGCGCCGCCCGCCCCGGGCTGGCCTCGGCACGAGTCGAAACCAGTTCCAAACACCTGGCGCGTGGGCATGCTGACGTCATTTATGCGCTGCTGCCTATAACCCCGCGAGCGCATGGCTGCTGTTTGTGGCTGACGTCAGTCGCCAACCGTGTGCAGGCCGGCCGCTGGGCCGAGCCTCGCTCCGCAGTTATAGGCAGCATGCAGGGAAATCTGACTGAACGCGGGACGCTGCGTACACGGCCGCCTGTGCTGCGATTGGCGCGCTGTGTGACGCGGCGCGTGTGGTGATGCCGCACCACGTGCGGCGGTGCCGCACCACGTGTGGTGGTGCCGTAACGCGTGGGGTGGTGCCGCACCCCGTACGGTCTGGCGCGCCTCCAGCCGGCCGTCCCCACCGCGATCGGCGCCACCGACCGTCGGCCGAGCGGCCGACCCGACGCCAGCCGGCGCCCCAGTGACCCGGTACCCCCAGATGTTGAGAGAGCGCGCACACCCGGGTCAGCTGGACCCGCGCGCGATCGCGCTTAAACAATAAGTGGTGCCGGCGACGGATGCACGACAGGCGGCTTTGTGCGCTTCACAATGCAGCTGATGACGAGTGGCGGCTCTCTGGCGTCCGCCGACGCCGCCGCCGCCGCCGGCCCGCCCGGGCACGGGAGCGTTTCTCCCGTGTCACACCTTTCTCCGGCCGGCATTGTCTCCCACTTTCTCTCGTCCCCTCTGCACGCGCGCGCTCTCTGTCTCCCTTCCTCGACCGACCCTTTGGCGCTTCCTGTATCTGATGTCTCTTCACCTCTCAACGTCTCTCTTGTGCTCTCTCCGATCTCTGGCATCATGGCTCTGTGCGGTTTTCCGGCCCGCTCTGCGCCCGCGGCCCGTCTGCTTCCGCAACACGCCTCTGCAGCGGTCGGAGCCGGCTCGTTCCATTTTGTTAGCGTGTCGTTGCTGTGCTCGTCGACTGCCGCTTGTCAGCTGTGCCCGTCTGGCCGCTTCTCTCGTGCGCTCGGCTCTCTCGCGTGTGCGTGTGATCATCTGCTGCGTGTCATGCGCGGCGTGCTCGCCCGGTGGCTGACGTCCGAGGTTTGACGGTCGCGCGGGGTTTGTCCGCAGGAGGTGCAGACGGACCAGTTCTACAATTTCTTCCTGCCGATGCTGCAGCGAGACAAGTACGAAGGCATCTTCTCGCCCAAGTCGCGGGCCAAGACCATGGCGGAGAGCGAGCGGAAATACGTCGACGGATGCGCCATCTTCTGGCGAACGGAAAAGTAAGAGTTCGGCGCGCTGCCGCTGTGCCGTGAGTGCGGCGCGCCGGCGCGGCCGGTGTTTCGGCTTGGCTGGCGACGGACGCCGTTAGCAGTGTGTGTGTGTCGGGGCTTGTCAGAGACCGTATCTGAGCACGCCCGCGGCGCGCTCGGCGGAGCGCGGACAGGCCCGGCAGCGGATACTCGGCGGCGGCTGGGCACGTGGCGCGTGACGGCGTGACGGTCACAGGCGTCACGCCCGGCGCCGCCGTCTCGCTGGCAACGGGGCTGCGAATTGGAGTGTGTCGGCGGCAGCGGGCAGGTGACGCCGGCGGTAGTCTGACAGACGGCCGAGGGGCGGGGCGGAGGCGGCCGCGAGCCGTGGTCTGGGGGTCCACTGGGGAACTCAGGAAGGGATAGAGTTCGCCGGCTGGAGGGCGGAGAAAGTCGCGGGGTGAGCGACTAGGGACCTCGCATCGTGGGAGAATAACAGAGGCTCGACGTAGGCTCGACATGGTTTTTATTGCACTAAGCTGAGTTGCGTTTTAATAAAGTACATTGATTGCGTGTGCTCTTGACTGGTTTATACGTAGGCATTGCATGGATGAACTGAATGAAGGACTGTGACCAAGGCGACGACCGCGAACGCCACAGGGTGTCTGTGTTGGGAGACAGCGAGTCCCTGATATGTGACCCGGGGAGACAGGGACAGGCTCTGGGATCAGAGGCTGGGAGATCCCCGGGTCGGTGGCTGGTTTATGGCCGGGAGTCCGGGAGGCTCGCCGGGTTTGTCAGTGACGTCAGAGTCCGCTGGCGGCCGCCGGTGGCGTGCTCGCGGCGCGGCCGGTGTGTCGGAGCTGACGGAGTGCGGGGCGTCAGCGCGGCCGGCCGTCCGTGCCTTGTGTGGGTCTGTGTGGTGTGGTGCCCTGTGTGTGGGTCAGTCTGTGCCCGGCTCAGTCGAGCCGCCGTCCAGCACGCGAGGCGTCGGGCCGAGCGCGGCCGGCCGTCTGTGCCTTGTGTGGGTCTGTGTGGTGTGGTGCCCTGTGTGTGGGTCAGTCTGTGCCCGGCCGAGTCGAGCCGCCGTCCAGCACGCGCGACATCGGGCTGAGCGCGGCCGGCCGTCTGTGCCTTGTGTGGGTCTGTGTGGTGTGGTGCCCTGTGTGTGGGTCAGTCTGTGCCCGGCTCAGTCGAGCCGCCGTCCAGCACGCGCGACATCGGGCTGAGCGCGGCCGGCCGTCTGTGCCTTGTGTGGGTCTGTGTGGTGTGGTGCCCTGTGTGTGGGTCAGTCTGTGCCCGGCTCAGTCGAGCCGCCGTCCAGCACGCGCCACATCGGGCTGAGCGCGGCCGGACGTCTGTGTGCGCAGGTTCAGCCTGGTGAAGGAGTACCTCATCGAGTTCAACCAGCTGGCCATGGCCAACGCCGAGGGCTCGGACGACATGCTCAACCGAGTGATGACCAAGGTGAGAAGGGTGGGCGGAGGGCGGCCCCGAGCTTGGTACCGCTTCCCGGCGAATAACGTGCTGTTATGATAATAGTGGGTTAATGTGGCAATGATGTGCCATGATTGCCCTCGGAGATCGGATTTGCACTTAGTACCCGCGGTTCGTTTATGGGCGAACCGTGGCGAGTAATGGCTGCATGCTTGTCGATGTCTGTGCGTTAACATATGTGAAGTGCGCGGTTTTCGGCCGTCCGGGACCGCTCCGACCGCCACTGACACGCGGGCCGGCCGGACCCCACTGACGGGCCCGGGTGCCGTGGCCGCAGGACAACATCGGCCTGGCGGCCATGCTGGAGACGCGCGAGGCGGCCTGGGAGAGCGGGGCGCCGGCCGAGCCCGGCCAGCAGATGCAGCGGCTCATGGTCTGCACGGCCCACATCCACTGGGACCCGGAGTTCTGCGACGTCAAGCTCATCCAGACCATGATGCTTATGAGCGAGGTGGGTCGTGAGCCGCCGTTGTCCCGCGTCTGGGGGGGAGGGGTGGGGGTCACGGCCGGGAGGCGACGCCTCAGGCTGTGCGGCGGCGCTGACGACCCGCTGCCCGGATCAGGCGCGCTGGTGGTTCCGTGTGGCGTGGCTGGGTTACTCGGCCTCTGTGTGGGGGGAGGTCCCAGACTGAAGTGCTCCCGAAGTGGGGCCGTCGGGAGGTGCGCGTGTGTGCAGTGAGTGCTTTAGATATCTGGGAGGTTGTCTTCAGGCTACATAGCATGCAGATGCAGAAGGTCGATGATCGCGCCGCGAACACGGGGCCCATGCCGCATGCTGAGGCGGCCCCGGATCCCTTTATGCGCGGTGTACGCAAGTCCATTCGCGACAGCTTAACGGAAAGCGACTCGAGCACATTGTTCTCGCTTTGTCTGGACTCCCAAGAGCAGCCAGCACAGGCAATCGTATCAATTCAAGACAGTCTCGCATGCGCGCGGCTGCCCCGGGTTGGAGCTGCGGTGTCACCCGTTGACACGGCCGCTGGGGTGAGCGTCGTCACTGACCTGCGCCGTGTGCCGTGTGCCATGTGACGTGGGTGGCGGCGCCGGCTGACGCTCGCCGGCCCGATGTGCGTCGCCAGATCCGGCAGATCATGGAGCAGGCCGGCCGCGAGGTGGCCAGCTTCCGGCCCGGCGGCGGCCACCGCTCGGCCTCCAACAACATCCAGCTGCTGCTCTGCGGCGACCTCAACTCGCTGCCCGACTCCGGTACGTCCGCCGGCCGGGCGCCGGGGCGGAGAGGGGGCGGTACGGCCGGCTCCGGTACGGGCGCCGGCCAGAGGGGGGCGGAGAGGAGGCGGTACGGCCGGCTCCGGTACTGCCGCCGGCCGGGCGCTGGCTGGAGGGAGGTGGAGAGGGGCCATACGTCCGGCTTCGGTACAGCCGCCGGCCGGACGTCGGACCCGGAGGGGGGGGGGGGGGGGGGCGGGGAGGGGGCGGTACGCCCGGCTCCGGTACGGCCGCCGGCCGGGCGTCGGAGCGGGTGGCGGGGCGGACTTTCTGTCGTGTTTGTGTCGTGGCTTGACGTGATGTGACGCTGCCTTGGTCTGACGTGACGTGACGTGACGTGACGTGACGTCGACCGCTGCAGGCGTGGTTGAGTTCCTGGTGAACGGCCGCATACCTGCCAACCACCCGGACTTCAAGGAGCTCGGCTACAGAACATGCCTGAAGAAGCTGTCCGTGTCCAACGAGCGCAGCGGCGAGTTCACCCACCCGTTCCGGCTTGCCAGCAGCTACTCGCCCGACATTATGCCATACACCAACTACACGTGAGCTACCGGCGCGGGCCAGACAGGCACACGTGACCTGTCGGCCATCGCTTCCTCGCCCGACATCATGCCATACACCAGTTTGTATCCGCGCGAGGTGGTCGCTTGGCAACACGACGGTTAGTTTGGAGTTACCGGCGTCGCGCTATTCGACCTGTGCGCCGCCGACGTCCTGTTCTTCATTGGGTGCCGTGGCAGCGGGGTTGCGCGACCACTAGCAGCGGGGTTGCGCGTGATCAACTGGGACCTGCGCCGCCTCATTGTCGCCTGTGGTCGTGGCCTCCCGACCGCGGCGCTGCCACGCCCGAGCCGGCCTGCGTGTCTCCCCGGTCTCCCGTCTGTGGGGCCGACTGGGGTGCTGCTGTCAGTGTCTGGGCGAGCTCGGCTCACCGGCCCGCCCTGACTGCCGGCCGCCGCCGCAGGTACGACTTCAAAGGCATCATCGACTACATCTTCTACTGCCGGGACACGATGACGCCGCTGGGCATCCTGGGCCCGCTGGACCCGGACTGGCTGCGCGACAACAAGGTGCAGGGCTGCCCGCACCCGCACGTGCCGTCAGGTGAGCCCACCGCCGCTCAGGGAGGGGGGGGGGGGGTGACACTGGGGGCCGCCGGCCAGAGCGCCGACACCAAGGGAGAGGGCCGGCCAGGGCTGACACCGGGGGGCCGCCGGCGGGCCGCGTTTACGGTGCAGAGCGGGCTGCCGGGTGTGACCTTCGCAGGCGATCAGCTGTCACTGGTCCAGCACCGGCGGCCTGTCCACCGCTGTCGGCTGCCTACAATCTCCTGCCCGCCTGGGTGTCGTGCCCGGCCTACGTGGCAAGTCTGGCGGTTGTTGGAGGTGCTGCGCTCGTACTATTCAAACGTTCGAACATTCACCAGTTTTACAACCGGGAAACTTCCGTGCGGTTTGTTTGCCCTTGTTCTTGTTCTGCTTGTGACTCGGTTGGTGGGTCGTGTCCGTGTCTGCGGTCCGCCCGCGGCCGCGCGGTGGTTGGCGTCAGCTTCCCTCGCTGTCCGTCCGGATGACTGCCGCTCCGCGCCGGAGGCCGGTGGTGCAGTGGTTAGGCTGCGCATCCGGGCAGCCAGAGGTGCGGAGTTCGATTGTCCACGGTGCCCGCCCTTCCCGCGGGGGAAGAGGCAGGAGACGCCGTGTAGTCGCGGCTGCTGGGTGCGTCGTGAAGCCCTAGTGACGCCGCTGTGGGCCAGCGCTCGGGTGTCTGCCCGCGCATGCGTCTGACGGCGTCCCCGCCGTGCCGCTGCTTCAGACCACTTCTCGCTGCTGGTGGAGCTGGAGATGTCTCCGGCGCGGTCGGACGCCGCCAACGGCATCATCGGTCACCGGTAGCCGGCAGTGCCACCTGGCCGCCGCTCCAATCAACACAACTACCGCCGTCCGCCGAGAGATGGCGCTGGTGGTGCCGCCCGCGCTCCACTGTTTTTTTACTAGCGTTCCATTGGTGCTGGTGGAGGCCCGGTCGTGTCGGCGCGTGCGAGGACGTGTGGAAGAGTGGCCGGAAAAGCGAGAAGTGGTGTCCGTGTTCCGGCTCGCTCAAGCGTGCGAGTCGCGTGTGCGCGTGGGCGTCTGACCCGAGCGCGTCCAATGTGCTGGTGTGAAGAGGGTGCGCGCCGTCGCCCTCCCCCTTTGTCTGCCTGTCTTTGCCGACCGTGTTGCCCAGTGTTAGTGGCGCCACCGTCCGCGCGCGGCGGCAGTTGTAGTTCCGCCGCCGGCCGCCCTGCGCCCCGAGCGCTGTCGTCGCCAGTCCCGTCTACTTAGGACGTCCAGTACAAAAGTGCGGTTGCGGCGTCTCCTGTCAAAATTGGCCGGTGCCGCGTGCTCGGCCCCGCCCCGTCTGGTTGTCTTTCAGCGCCGGCCGGCGTGGCGACAGCGGCGGCCGCCGCCGCCTGCCCGCCTCCCCCACCCACCCACCCACCCGGCCGGCGGTGGCCAGACCGCGAGGGCGGCCGGGGCGCCAGCGAGCGGGCGCGGGCGCGTGCGAGTGTCTGTGTATTTTTAGATCTCACGTATAGATGTGACGGCTGAGCGGCGGTGCGCGCCACCCACCGTTGTCTGTTGGAGGCGGCTCGCCGGCCGGTGGCGCTGGCTGGCCCGGTCCGGCCGGGCCCGGGCGCCCCTGTGATTGGCCCGATATTTTTGATCTATTTTACCTGTACTCTTGGTTGGCGCGGCGGGCGAGCGGTCGTCGGCCGCGCGTTTTGAGCGCCGTTTTATCCCTGCCCATCATGTCGCGAGCGAGCGGGCGGCCAGCGCGTGCGTGCGTGTGCGTGAGCGTGTACATATTTTATTCCACTGAGCTGTGCGCGCGCGCGCGGTCGCGGCGGCGGGCTGCCGCGCGCGCCCAGTACAAACTCGGTACAACGCAGGGCGGTCGGGTGCCAGCCGGGCCGGGGTCGCGGGGCCCCTCTGGCGCTATGTGTACATATAATACAAACTTCACTGAATGACGCACGATCCGTAATGAACGGCGCGACCAGTCTACGGAACGACCAGTCTACGGAACGGCCAGCCTGTACGGAACGACCAGTCTACGGAACGACCAGTCTACGGAACGGCCAGCCTGTACGGATCGACCAGTTTGTACGGAATGACCAGTCTGTACGGAACAATCAGTCAATACTGAACGACCAGTCGGGGGCGTAACACAGCACAGCGGCACAACAGCCGAAACCCCACATGGGAGGTCCTGGCTCTTATTGCCGGCTGCGCCTATGACAGCTCAATCGGCTACGGCTACGGCAGCTCAATCGGCCACGGCTGCTGTTTTGCGAGCCGTTATCTTCATGGTGGGCCCTCGCCACTGCCTCCTGAGGGCTTCGGTGACGGTGAGGCTTGCGATCTCCCACACGGCGGGGAATCTGCGATGGCTGATGTCAAGTCTGTAGTCGGACCAGTCTAAACTGAGGCGATCGGTCTGAATTGAGCGACGACCTGGCTGAAGTGCGCGACGACCGGTCTGAGCTGAGCGGCGACCAGTCTGAATTGAGTGACGACCAGTTTGAACTGAGCGATGACCAGTCTGAACTGAGCGACGACCAGTCTGGACAGAGTGACGACCAGTCTGAACTGAGCAACGACCAGCCTAAACTGAGCGATGACCGGTCTGAACTGGGCGAAAACCAGCCAAGCTGTGTGATGCACAGTCACTCTTTGGTTGTCAATTGCGTCAGGTGATTGGCGCTCAGTTGAAAAACTTTTCACGGCTGGAGGGCTGATCTTGAACAGGTGGTCATGTGCGCCGGTGGCTGTTTGTCTCTTTCGCACCATATGAAGGTACGCGGTTGAGGCGCTGTAACTACCGCTGTAGCCTTTGCTCAATAACCATCATAAATCTGTTAAAATGAATCCTTTATGAATTATTATTAAACCCCTTAAAATCATAAGTAATACAATAAGTTAAATACAATCAAACAAGCACAGTTAAAATATAATTAGAATAAGGATCTAATGAACCCTTAAAAAATTATTAGCATGCACAAAGTATTAAAGCACATCCTTGAGTTGAGCGCCACGCTCCTGTTTCACCCAGTGAAGTCCCTGATATTTTATTCTGAATTTCAGTTGACCCCGAATGTGTTTCGGTTCAGCTCCGCTGGTTTCTCGGCTGAAGCAGATGAATGATTGATTCACAGCGTGATACTCAGCATTGATTCACTTCTGCTTTTTAACTGTTGGTCACGGAATGGTGACACGGCAGCACCGGGAGCGCAGAACTGGGAATAGCTGGAAACATCACGAGCCATTTCCAATTCACACAAAGCAAACAACAGGTTTTCTGATAACCCCAGTTATTTTCTCAGCCAGAAAAGGAATCGTCATCCCCCAGGATGACATGAAGCTGATAACCCACTGCAGGAGTCTCCAGGCACCTAGTTTAAACCCGGTCTTAACGTGAAGCACAACTCATCGCCAGACATCTCGGCCCCGGAGGGCCACAAACACTGCGCATGAGTTTCAGTTGTATTGTCCACGGAGTGGCTGCGCGCTGACCCAACTCGTCACGCGTTGGTCCCACCAACTTCCCCGTCAGATCGTCCCGCGACGTGGATTCAATGCAGCATACCCGAGCTATGCATAACAGAAGCCATCGCATTGCAGTCACGAGGGAACTGATGGCAGCACTAAGTAGCATCACTATTATTGCTGAGTACTCATCAGCGGTCAGTGCCAATAATGGCGAGAACAGAGGCATTATGCTGTCGCGTGACAAAGTCGTCGCACACGCACGAACACATCTACACTCGGTTGAGAATGACGGACAAGATCTAACCTTGAAGTAGCCACGTTCACCACTTAGCATTCTACTCGTGCCCTCCAGGACCAAAAAATCGGGTCTTAATAAAAATAAAATACAAAATAATAAATATAAACTGCGGTCAGCTAACTCGGCTGTCTGTCGGCTGTCCCAGCACTGTACTGCCGCGGGCCCAGCCGCAGCTGCCGTCGGCTGACTCGGCTGTCTGTCGGCTGTCCCAGCACTGTACTGCCGCGGGCCCAGCCGCAGCTGCCGTCGGCTGACTCGGCTGTCTGTCGGCTGTCCCAGCACTGTACTGCCAAGGCCCAGCCACAGCTGCCGTCGGCTGACTCGGCTGTCTGTCGGCTGTCCCAGCACTGTACTGCCGCGGGCCCAGCCGCAGCTGCCGTCGGCTGACTCGGCTGTCTGTCGGCTGTCCCAGCACTGCACTGCCGCGGGCCCAGCCACAGCTGCCGTCGGCTGTCTGCCGCCTCTCAGAGGCTGCGCTCTTCCGGCCGGCGGTACGGATACTGCAGGTACTCGAAGATCTCCTCCTCGCTGGTCACCGGCACCGGCTCGCCCGGCGTGCCGGTGGCGCCCAGCGGACGCAGCGTGTACTCGTTCAGCGTGAACCGCTGCTCCAGCGCGTGGGCCCGCATCTGCCTGTGGCGGCGACAGACAGAGCCGTCAGATGTTACACCTGCTGCCAGTGGCGGACAGGAGGCCGACATCTGCCTGTGGCGGCGACAGACAGAGCCGTCAGATGTTACATCTGCGGACGGGAGACCGACGTCTGCCTGCGACGGCGACAGACAGAGCCGTCAGATGTTACATCTGCTGCCAGTGGTGGACAGGAGACCGACATCTGCCTGCGACGGCGACAGACGGAGCCGTCAGATGTTACATCTCCTGCCAGTGGCGGACAGGGAGGCCGACATCTGCCTGTGGCGGTGACAGACAGAGCCGTCAGATGTCACATCTGCGGACAGGAGACCGACATCTGCCTGCGACGGCGACAGACAGAGCCGTCAGATGTTACATCTGCTGCCAGTCGCGGACAGAAGATCGACATCTGCCAGTGACGGCGACAGACAGAGCCGTGGAGGGATGGCGCGCCACGAGAAAAGTGCGCGTGCTCAGAAGGAAGACACAACCTTGTCAATACGAACACATTACGAGCTCTCTCTATTAACTGGCCACCGAGTCGTGAACCACCGAGTCATGAGCCACCGAGTCGTGAACCACCGAGTCATGAACCATCGATTCACGAACTAACGAGCCATGAACCACCGAGTCATAAACCACCGAGTTTGTCGCACGTGAGACGAGCTCGCCACTGTGTCCCCAACCGCGGAGAACAGCACTCACCTCAATGTGTTACCCCTTCGATGATCTGGGATTGTACTCAACTTAGAATCTCCGGAGGCGAACGTTTATAAATAGATCTGACTTCTATATTGCGCCTACACACAGATGACAGTGAGGGAGGTATGTGATGAAAGTAAGGGAAGTTAAGAAAAAGGCAAGTAAGGGATGTCCCGATATTTGTATACGAAAAATTGAAATTCGAAACAAAAAATGTGTATTTTTCGAACCGGTAGCCCGGTATGAAAACAGCGCTGATGCCCCGATCGGGACTGACCGCAATTCTGGAACGCCGATGGTGGCATCGCCGTCCCCGGTGCAGCACCGGCCCTGGATCACGGCTCGCCTGGCCCACACCGAGGCCTCTTACCGCTACCCCGCCAGGTCACCTCACGGCTGCCCCCATCACCCCACCCCGGGGAGGCGGCAGCGACGGAGGCGGCCCTGTCGCCGCTGCCGCCGCCGGTGGCGACACCTGACCTGTTGAACTCGTCACTGCCGGTGAAGTACAGCACGGCGCAGAAGTACTGGTCGTGCGGCACCAGACGGATGTCGATACGCCGGTGAACGGTGTACCGCTCGCCGGGCAGGAGGCACACACCCTGGCGGAGGCAGCTGGCAGTGACGGCTGGCCTGGCTGGGCACGCGCATTGACAACCTGGCTAATGCTGCAATACCGTTGGTGTCAACTGTGTTTAAGACGGCACAGGCCGGCGTACGGGTGTGGAGGCCGTCTGCTCGCATGCAGCATTTGCAGATGTGATACAGAACACACTCTGTTTCAAATGACCGGCCCGGACCAGAGCTCCAGCAGCGCTGCAAGCACAAGCCTTCACAAGAAGCATAACTGTGATGCGGCCGCTCCGTTGGCTGGAAACAGTCCGATTCGGTTTGGGGCGAGATGCAACGTGTCCCGACGTTACCATAAACTTGGTGTCGCCATGGGACAGTGTGTCGGTGATGAAGCCCTCGTTCTTAAGCTGGTCCACCGCGGCTCTCAACAGCTGGCCGCCCGTCTTCTCATTGGCTGCCGCCCCGTGGGCTGGCTTCTGATTCGCGGCCGATCCCTTAGCGGGTTTCTGATTGGCTGAGGAGCCGCGAGCCGGTTTTTCATTGACTGACGACGTAAACGCGGGGTGCGTGAGGAGGAAGTCGACGTCGCCGCTTGACTCGGCGCCTCGCCTGCGGGCACAGACGGCGTCGGTCCGGCACAGACACACACAGCGTGGTCGCCCGATGGCAGGCCCACGCTCACAATCACCACTCAAGTGCCACGAGTGCGGACCGAGAGGATGCTTTTCTGAGTGGTGGTTGTACTCTGCTCTCCTTCGCTGGAGGCCAGGCAGTTGTGATTCAGGGACGCGCCAGGTCCCGACATTACAACGTCTCGGGATATGTTGCATGAGGGACTGGTTGGCTCGAGGACCAGTGAATAGCTACCATGAGTCAAAACCAGAGGCGTCATGCAAATACAGTGAAATGGTTTGCACCCTGGCCACCCTGCTGGAAACTTTTTGTGACACATTTCGACATCGGCCGTCGTCAAATATACCCTCCCCACTATCCGCACGATCGCTAATTGTATCACACAAAATTATCGGATGTACAATAATCACGTGGCAGTCAGACGCGGCTGTAACTTGCATCTGGCCAACATGCCAATACTCTGACTGGCTGCTCGCCATAACGAGAAAACGTGATCCGGTGAGTGTTCACCGTCGAGTAGGTGGCTCATTTCATCAGCGCTCGGTACCAGCCGCCAACTGACCGGTACCAGGCGCCAACTGACTGGTACCAGTCGCCAACTGACCGGTACCAGGCGCCAACTGACTGGTGCCAGTCGCCAACTGACCGGTACCAGGCGCCAGCTGACTGGTACCAGTCGCCAGCTGACCGGTACCAGGCGCCAACTGACCGGTACCAGTCGCCAACTGACCGGTACCAGGCGCCAACTGACTGGTACCAGTCGCCAACTGACCGGTACCAGGCGCCAACTGACTGGTGCCAGTCGCCAACTGACCGGTACCAGGCGCCAACTGACTGGTACCAGTCGCCAGCTGACCGGTACCAGTCGCCAACTGACCGGTACCAGTCGCCAACTGACCGGTACCAGGCGCCAACTGACCGGTACCAGTCGCCAACCGACCGGTACCAGGCGCCAACTGACTGGTGCCAGTCGCCAACTGACCGGTACCAGGCGCCAACTAACCGGTACCAGTCGCCAACTGACCGGTACCAGGCGCCAACTGACCGGCACCAGTCGCCAACTGACCGGTACAAGGCGCCAACTGACTGGTACCAGTCGCCAACTGATCGGTACCAGGCGCCAACTGACTGGTGCCAGTCGCCAACTGACCGGTACCAGGCGCCAACTGACCGGTACCAGTCGCCAACTGACCGGTACCAGGCGCCAACTGACTGGTACCAGTCGCCAGCTGACCGGTACCAGTCGCCAACTGACCCGGACCAGGCGCCAACTGACCGGTAGCTGCCGCAGACGGTGGCGCAGTACAGCGGGTCCAGAGCCGCCAGCCTGCTGCACACGTGCCCCTCTAAAGCAGCCGCCTCCGTACGGGGGATGCGTGCCTCGAACTCAGACACATACCTGTTGCAAGATCGGCGGGTTGGTTAAAGGCCGAGTGGCCGATCACACCGACATCTTTCCACCGCGTCTGTGCGGATCACTAAGGCCACAGGTTGGCCAATATCATATCCTCAGCCCTGTACAACGCTTAAGGTTGACAAGCGCTCGGCCACAGTCTGGTGGTAATTGAGCAGCTCACATCAGCCCAAGCCCCAGGGTCTAGCGGTGGCTGAGCAGCTCACCTCAGTCCCAGGCTCTGGTGGTGGTTGAGCAGCTCACCTCAGTCCCAGGCTCTGGCGGTGGCTGAGCAGCTCACCTCAGCCCCAGGCTCTGGTGGTGGCTGAGCAGCTCACATCAGCCCCAGGGTCTGGCGGCGGCTGAGCAGCTCACCTCAGTTCCAGGCTCTGGTGGTGGCTGAGCAGCTCACCTCAGCCCCAGGCTCTGGTGGTGGTGGAGCAGCTCACCTCAGTTCCAGGCTCTGGTGGTGGTTGAGCAGCTCACCTCAGCCCCAGGCTCTGGTGGTGGCTGAGCAGCTCACCTCAGTCCCAGGCTCTGGTGGTGGCTGAGCAGCTCACCTCAGTCCCAGGCTCTGGCGGTGGCTGAGCAGCTCACCTCAGGCCCAGGCTCTGGTGGTGGTTGAGCAGCTCACCTCAGCCCCAGGTTCTGGTGGTGGTTGAGCAGCTCACCTCAGTTCCAGGCTCTGGTGGTGGTTGAGCAGCTCACCTCAGCCCTGGCTCTGGTGGTGGCTGAGCAGCTCACCTCAGTCCCAGGCTCTGGTGGTGGCTGAGCAGCTCACCTCAGTCCCAGGCTCTGGTGGTGGTTGAGCAGCTCACCTCAGCCCCAGGCTCTGGTGGTGACTGAGCAGCTCACCTCAGTCCCAGGCTCTGGTGGTGGCTGAGCAGCTCACCTCAGTCCCAGGCTCTGGTGGTGGTTGAGCAGCTCACCTCAGCCCCAGACTCTGGTGGTGGCTGAGCAGCTCACCTCAGTCCCAGGCTCTGGTGGTGGTTGAGCAGCTCACCTCAGCCCTGGCTCTGGTGGTGGCTGAGCAGCTCACCTCAGTCCCAGGCTCTGGTGGTGGCTGAGCAGCTCACTTCAGTCCCAGGCTCTGGTGGTGGTTGAGCAGCTCACCTCAGCCCCAGGCTCTGGTGGTGACTGAGCAGCTCACCTCAGTCCCAGGCTCTGGTGGTGGCTGAGCAGCTCACCTCAGTCCCAGGCTCTGGTGGTGGTTGAGCAGCTCACCTCAGCCCCAGACTCTGGTGGTGGCTGAGCAGCTCACCTCAGTCCCAGGCTCTGGTGGTGGCTGAGCATCTCACCTCAGTCCCAGACTCTGGTGGTGGTTGAGCAGCTCACCTCAGCCCCAGGCTCTGGTGGTGGCTGAGCAGCTCACCTCAGTCCCAGGCTCTGGTGGTGGTTGAGCAGCTCACCTCAGTCCCAGGCTCTGGTGGTGGTTGAGCAGCTCGGGCCGCCGCCGCAGCTCCTCCAGCGAGGTGACGCCGGCGCTGAAGAGCTCTCGGGCCTTGGCCGGCCCCACGCCAGACACGCGGGACAGCTGACCAATGGCCACCGCCTCGTCACTGGCTCGGATCTGTGGCGCCACCCACCACCGCACATAGCGTCACACACACCACGGGTGACGTCACATCGTGCTGGCTGTGACGTCACGGCATGATGGAATATTATGTTAGCCATGTCGTGTCCTCATTTGTCTCGCAGCTTCGAGATGAGAGCGCAAACGCATTCTGTACATCAGCAGTGTAGCCTTGTGAGACGCATCACAGACAGAACAGACGGTACGCAGTACAGCTGTGGCGTTACGGCGGCACAAGAGCGTGCAGTAGCGGGCGCCCTGCCCTTCCACCTGTGGATCACCAGCACGGAGATGACCCAGGGGTCAGCAGCGAGCCCGGTCGGGGGCCGCGCCGAGCGGCCGGTTGGCCGGGCCGCACCTTGTCCAGCTTGCCCAGACGGCCGGTCTGCACGAACTCATCGATCTTGTCGGCGATCTTGCGCCCGACGCCGGGCAGCTGGCGCGCCTCCGAGCCGGAGCTGACGCGCACCGGGTGGCGGGAAAGCGCCGAGGCCGCCTTCCTGCCGGCGCCGCCCCGCTCGTCACGGACAGCTGGCGAGATCGGCCGCGAGCCGGCTCCAATACCGCCCGCCGCGCACAGTCAGCGGACCCTCGCTGCCGGCTCCACTCCCGCCCGCCCCGCACAGTCAGCTGACCCTCGCCGGCTCCACTCCCGCCAGCCCCACACAGTCAGCTGACCCTCGCCGCCGGCTCCACTCCCGCCAGCCCCACACAGTCAGCTGATCCTCGCCGGCTCCACTCCCGCCCGCCCCACACAGTCAGCTGATCCTCGCCGGCTCGACCGCCGCCCGCCCCGCACAGTCAGCTCCCCACCCGCACCAGCCAGGTCCGGAGATCAGACACATGGGAACACAGACACGTGATCGACTCAGCAGCACCGCACGCTACGACGCGTTGCACCTTGTACCTACGGCTAGTAAGCACGAGCGTGCATATCAAAGATGCATGCTTCAGCCTGGCATGTGAGTACGCCTATTGAACCGCTGTTCCGCCACTGGCCCGAGCCTGCAGGCGGTCTTTCTACCCCATAGCACTGGTGTACAGGCGCACACTTCAGGACCACGATAAAACGTTCGGAGTGAGAACTGCGGTCTAGATGTGGTGTGGCATTGGATGATCACGGTCCTTTGGCTGACCTGTAGGCGTTGTGTTTGTAAATGTTCCTCGAGACATTCTTCTCGAAGTCCGCAAGTTCTGTAACAAAAGGAGAAGAAATAACATGAGGGATTGATGGGTAGGAAGGCTAGTTAGTGATTGTCCTATGTTCCTATTGGTTTGTTGGGTTACAGGACATTCTTTGGGTCATCATTGTTTGGTCATCAGTTGGGCAGAAATTGCAAGAGTCCTCATGCACAGATACTGCTCTTGAGCTGCAGCTTGGAAAACTGATTAACGTCATCACACATCTGCGCATCATCACACCACACATAACACCCTCACATCACACATCCGCTATTAGCACCTGGGCACATTCAACTGGTATGCCAAAATGGTGCAGCCCTCATCCAATTGGCCCATTCCACAATTGTTTATGGTGCCCTTGCCAGCCCTGTCCAGGAATTTCAGCCTGGTAAATCACCTCACTGGGCCAAAAAGAAGCACACAAAACCCAACTAATGAGTACACATACTGAGTATTTTCCTTGGATCTCCACAGCCATGGCCAGAGATCCTTTGTCTGCCCAATCCTGTTCCTAATCTTCATCAGAGACCCACCTAGTTTCCCTTCCAACAGCCACCTACTATCCTTCAACCACAACTCCCAACAATTGTCTCCACCAATCCCAATGTTGCTGGCCTGTCCAACCTGAAAGCTGGTGTCTAGGAGTCTATTCAATGCATTCAGGACTAGTTTCCAACAGCCTTGAAATGAACCATGAAAAGACAGGATCATGCTGATTGGCACCAGACATGTGTGCATACCTGTGTACATGTGTATATGCATGTGTATGTGTGCATGCATGTGGATGTGTGTGAGTGCATGTGTATGTGTGTGAGCACGTGTGTGCTGTGTGTTTCTCTTGTATGACCAGGCCCAGAACAACCACCCTGTAGATGTGTCTTTGATAAAATTAACAAACTGAAATGAAATGAATTCAAGCAGAGAGTCTGTCAGCTCAACCATATTTTTTGTTCTTTTTTATCATATGCCAGTGTGATTTAGTGGGCTCATTTTTGGGGAGGAGAGACTAAGTCAAGATGAATGTGGTTCCTTCTTCTTGGCCTTTCTGGAAAACATGGGTCAAACAGCACAGGGTAATGGAATAACCAGGCCTAGCCCTCTTCAGATTTAAAAATTACACCTTTGTGCTCACACCTGCACACCAGAGCAAATTGTCTTCACTGTTGTCAAGTGGTTAAGGTACCTCACATCACATAACTTCTACTAGTCAGTGCTCACTTTATACAATACCAACCTTTGACATCATAAAGGCATTTCACTCCAGCTTAACATAGCCCATGTGGTGATACATGAAAAACAGGAGGTTTCAAGTTTCTGCCCTTCTCATGTCTTATGGCACATGAGGTCTGCACCTTGGAACAGGAAAGCATGCCACCACCCACAAATCACAATCCTTGCTGGCTCTCATGCAGCAATACATAAATTAATATGGCACACACTTACCTAAAAGAAAATCACAGTAGTCTTGATTCGGGTTTGATGCACTTGGCTGTAGCTTCCTCTTACTCATTGCCAGAGAAAACAATTGACAAGTTAATCTCTTCAGGCTGGCCTCTAAGGGCAGTTGTTAAGTTGAAAAATGCACTGGATATTGCACCACCTGTGTGTTCTCCTCCACCGATAGTACTACATCTACCCAAAAACACCGCAGGACCTAATAACCACAACACCGGGCAACAGCACACGTCCAAATCGCGGCCCACTCACATGGCACGTCGAAACATGATCACGTTTTAGCAGAAGTTTGTGGGGCACCCAGCAAGGAAAGAAAAAAGAGCATTTCTAAAGCCTAGCGTGGGCTGCTGTGCCGCCAACCTTTCGCGATGCACCGGCTGACATTCTCGCAATGTAAAAGGTGATTGGTTACTGGCTGCCTACAAAATCATGTTGACGGCACAATTATTTGAGTCAGACGCATTGGCGAAAAAAGGCCAAGGACACCCGACCGGCGCGGGAGGCATAATCAACTTGGTTACTATTTGTGCTACGCCTTGCGTGCTCCTATGGACAGTTGGACCCGGAAGGCTGCAAGTACTGTTGCCGCGCAAGCCGCCGTTCTGCAGTCGTGGTTGGTGTTGCATTGCCCTGGCCGTGGTTGTAGATATTCACAAGCCATGCATGCATAGAGCGCGCGGAGATGGCAGCGCGTATGCTGTGTTAAGCAGCGTTGGGCCAGTGTTTCCGTTATGCTACGCGTAGCTTGTGGCTTGTGAATAACTTTTCTTTTGGGAATGCAGGTTGTGTGGTGTGCTGCAATAAACTCGTGCGCTGCACCAGACGCCGATGTGACATGCGTGTTCTGAACCCCAATTTTGCAAAGATACATGCATACATCCACCGAAAATTTTGCTGCATGTCACTGCAGCACCGGACATTCTTGGTGTGGTGTGTTTGTCCAGTTTTTGCAGGATGTGGACCAAGAGAAAGGTTAAAACTCAAAATGCATCTGTGGTATCCCCACTCTTTATTCCAAGGCACACTGCTGACCTCCACTTGCACCATGCAGTTTGCCTGAATTGTTGTTCATGGGTCTGTAGCCATGGTGCATCAGTGATCCTGTACAGGATACTGAGGGATGACTGGAGCGTATATATTATACATATTTTCAAGGTAGACTCCAAAAATCAGGTAAAAGTAGTTAAGCAAACAATAAACCATGATTGTTTGAAATGGTGCATGGGAAATGTGGATAGAAATTTAACCATTTCTTGCATAAGAAAAGAACTTTGACAATGTCTTGCATAAGAAAAGAACTTTGACAATTTCTTGCACATAAGTCATTGTTAGCTCATTGCTGAATGTTTGTAAGGCACAGTATGTGGACTATAGTAAAGCCCATCCCACTATCTTATATCTGGTGCTAGATCAGGTCTCCCTCCCTTGTGCTGTATTTCTGACATCTTGGTGGAACCTTTCAAAAACCAACCATCAAAAGCCCTGCTGAGTGACTATTAAGAGAACTGGTGTATTGCATGCATTCCCTAAGCTGTATTGACTTTGTTTAGCTGCTCTCTGATATATATTGATTATGATTTTTTTTAGGATGCATTTGGGCCCCAACATGTATCTGTTGTACTGTCTTTTTTGGAAAATTAAGTTTTGATGTGCTAATCTCACATTGATCTACTTCCTGTGTCTCTTGAATTTTCTTTGTGATGACAGAAAACTGACACTGCAAAATTTGGTACCTGTAGTATCCAGTCCACTCACGCTATCCGACCAAACACTATGCGAGGTGTTACCGTCAGTGTTTGCCCAATACCTCTGTAAAAAAACAATAGCAATAATATAACGTGTTGGAGGCATCTGACCCCGTCGCGCCCCCACCATGCGCCACCCTTTGCCTGGCACGTAGGCGCACCTAAACAGCTGCCATACACCACAGTACCCCAGTTATGTATCTTGCCCAAGTGTTTGGAGGTTTACAGCCATGGAGTGTTATTCATGTGTGCCGTGTTCCAGAGGCCGGCACTGTCCAGCGCCCTCCCGCCAGCGTGACAGTCCTCACTACCACTGCTGGCTAGCGGCGCGCTGGGGATGGCGGCCGCCTGGGATCGGCTGGCGCGCCACCTCACGCGGCACGGCTACCTCGGCGCCAGTGGCCGACTGGGCCCCCTTGGTCTGGCGCTGCTGCGTAACCTGGCGGCTGAGTGGCGGCGCGACGTGGAGCTGCGCACAGGCGTGTCCGTGGTGCCGGCCCAGCTGCCAGCTGGCGCCGCCGCCTCCCAGCTGACAGGTGCGGCCTCCACCAGCCGGCCGAGGCCCGACCGCGGAGGCCCGGCCACCGAGGCCACCGAGGCCCGGCCGCCGAGGTCCGACCGAACGGCTGACGCTGGGCAAGAGGGGCAGCTTTTTGTGATGAATACTCCACTTTGTCACCTTGTATGACGGGCATGTCTTCGTGATTCAAAAGATTGCATAGGCACAACAGTCGCTGTCAGCCTATATGGTCACCTTTAGCAATAAGGAGACAACCTGGCTGACTGGCATGGCAGAGACATACAGCTTCCATGTTGGTGGCAAATGATTGCGAAATATGCAGACAAATAAGTTTGTTTGTCATCATTTGTCATTATCACCAGATCAGCTTCATCACCGGCACTAACCCGAGGGCGAGGCAAAAAGCAAGATCCCGTGAAGAGTAATACCAAGGGAGTCAGTAAAAGTTTGGATCTTACCTGGAATTATGGCTTGGGACCAGTGCATATCATTCCCTTAAACAGGTCTAGGCTTGGTGTTAAGAAACCCGTGGAAACCAAGAACCGGGCTCTGGTGTCTGTAAAGGAGCCAATGGGGAGTTGGACTTGGTCCTTTTGACAATCAGTGGAAGCCAGGAGCTGGGTCTGGCATTCTAAAGAACTAATGGAAACTATGTGTAAAAACTAATGGGAACCAGCTTTTGTTGTTCACTAAAGTTCTGGTCAGAAGAAGAAATCATAGTCAGTGCAGGAACTAGGGGCTGGTGTTGACCAACGGACTTGTGGAAGCCAGGACCCAAGGTTTCATCTCCATGAAGGGGCCGTTGGGAACCAAAACCCTTGGGCACCAGGCACGTTGCTGTTGGTAATCGCCGCCGTAATCACCGCAGGTTGGTAATCACTGCTTGGCTTTGCAGTTTGCTGGGCTGAGGGCTGCGGCTCACTTTTCAGATATTGCAGTTTGCCTCGCTGAGGGCTGTGGCTCGCTGTTCCAGATATTGCAGTTTGCTTCGCTTAGGGCTGCGGCTCGCTGTTCCAGATATTGCGGCGGAGTGCGCTGCCTTGAAGAAGACGCTGGGGCTGGTGCCGCCGTTTGGCGTCTCCGTCGAGGCCACTGCCAACTGCCAGCTGATGTCTCCCGATCAGCTGATGGCCGCATCGCCGCCGGACTGCAGTCAGCTAGCGCTGTTCATGGTGGTGCCGCACAAGTCGGCCACCGACTGGTTCCAGACCCTGCAGCGTAAGCGACGGATATGGTGGCGCGAACTGGCGGCCGACCCGGGAAACTACAGTCTCGCGCGACCGTCTGAAGATGCCGCCGAAGTGCGATTCGGAGATGAGTTGGTGGTGGAACGACTGCAGGATCATGGTCGTGAACCATTCACGACCAACGGCAAGACGTCTTCCGCCCGGAGCCAAGTGAGTTTTGGTGGGCCTGATGTGATAGCCGAGTACGCGCTCAGATGCACAGATAATATCGTTGGTGCACTTGCCGCAGGTGATGTACGAATACCAGCACGTTGTCATTTTGAATTCTGCCAGAGACTGGATGGATGTGTATGCGCTCCTCATCTCCCCAGCCCCCCCCCCCCCCCCTCTTGTATCGGTTGCCTGGTGGTAACGGAACATCACAGCACTGTGTGGGGCTTATAAAGAAGTCATTGTTGCTGTAACTTTGGCAGCTTGTAGCACACCAAACTACGGACTGAACACGTAGATGTCAGTGTTGCGCCCCGCTGCTGTTCCACCGACTGTCCGGTGAGAACGGCCGTGGACGTTACGCCGCTGGCGGCTGTGGGAGTCTCACCGCTGGCGGCCGTCGGTGTCTCGCCGGTGGCGGCTGTGGGAGTCTCACCGTTGGCGGCTGTGGGAGTCTCACCGCTGGCGGCTGTGGGAGTCTCGCCGCTGGCGGCTGTGGGAGTCTCACCGTTGGCGGCTGTGGGAGTCTCGCCGCTGGCGGCTGTGGGAGTCTCGCCGCTGGCGGCTGTGGGAGAGTTAGTTGCGAGGCGTAGTTCGTGTCTCGCCGCTGACGGCTGTGGGAGCCGGCCAGCGAGCGGTCGGCGCTGGCTGACGTGTGCGCTGACGGCGGCGGTGGCGCGGCCGGCAGCCTCACCTGCTCAGCTGCGGCGTCTGCGTGGACGCTGCGCTCTGGGCGGTGTGCCGGGACGCGCTGGACGGGGCCGCGCTGCGGCTGCAGGAGCGACTGGCCCCGTACCGCCGCGCCGTGCTGGCCGACGGCGGCGACTCGGAGGAGCTGCGCGCGCTGGCCGCCCACCTCGCCGCCCAGGTGCGTCCGCCGGCCGGCCAGCAGACGGCCCCGGCCGTCGGTCGGCGTCTTGGCGTCTGTCTGTGCACCTGTCTCTGGCTGTCTGCCCGCCTGCCCGCTTCTCTGTACCTCTCCGTATGCCTGTGCGTTTGTGTCGGTCCGTCCGCCAGTGGGTCTGGCAGTGCTCGGCGCATGGCTGGCGTCGTTGTGTCTGTCCCGACTGCGTGTCAGTTGCGTCTGTTATGGAATGAACCGTACAGACCATGCCAGTGTGTTAGGGCTCCCTTTGGCATCATGAAACAACATGAGTTGTGGTTTATTGTCATATTTTATGAAACAAAATATTGAGAAATGTAAACAGTTGTAAAAATGGCAATAGAACACGAAGTAACATGGGGTGTGTGAAGATTTTCGGGGTATATCATTCTTCAAAAAGTTAAAGTAGCGAATCAGCGAGTCGTGCCCACAGCCATGGCGAGCGACAGTAACTGATGTTATAACACTGTACTCTGCTGAACATCACACGGTGTGAAGGCCGCAGTGTCTCGGTACGGGCGAGTGGTGTCTGTTGTGCGAGGATTACCGGGTGACCTCGGTGGCGCCGAACGGCTGCTCCAGAAGCTCAGGGACGCTCCGAAATGCCAGGGCCGAACCCCGTTAGGATGTCGTTTCTTTGCACTTATCACCAGAGATGTAATGTTTAACTGGCTCAAAAAGTGAGAAGGTCATGCCCCCCCTCCGCTCACAGGTGTATATATATATATATATATATATATATATATATATATATATATATATACAATATTGTATTATATATAAGTCACAGGTGTTATTCCTTGTGCTGTACATGATTCCTGCGCTCAGAGTTGTGAGGTTTATTTCACGTTCGGATGTTGTTTCAGCTCCGCGCGGCGAATATTCCAGTCTTCCCGCTACCGGTGGCGCCGGGTGCGTCGGCGCCATCTGTCGACAAGGCGGCGCACTTTGAGTTCCCATCGCCGGCCACTGATGCGACTGAAGGTGGCCGTTTGGCCTGTGACGGGGATCAGATTACGCCAGAGTGCGACGCGGCAGAAGGCTCGGCAGCCGCCGGAGTTAGCAAGGCCTCTGGAAAAGGTACTGTCCTCTGCTGTCTGTATAGGTTGCGTGTTGGTGGTGGTCCCAGCAGTGGTGGTCCCATCGGCGATAGTCCCGCCGGTGGTGGTCCCGTCGGCGGTAGTCCCGCCAGTGGTGGTCCCGTCAGTGGTGGTCCCACCAATGGTGGTCTCGCCAGTGGTGGTCCCGTCAGTGGTGGTCCCACCAGTGGTGGTCTCGCCAGTGATAGTCCCGCCAGTGGTGGTCCCGTCAGTGGTGGTCCCGTCAGTGGTAGTCCCGCCAGTGGTGGTCTCGTCAGTGGTGGTCGCCAGTGGTAGTCTCGCCAGTGGTGGTCCCGTCAGTGGTAGTCCGGCCAGTGGTGGTCCCGTCAGTGGTAGTCCAGCCAGTGGTGGTCCCGCCAGTGGTGGTCCCGTCAGCGGTGGTCCCGCCAGTGGTGGTCCCGCCAGTGGTGGTCCCACCAGTGGTGGTCCCGTCGGCGGTGGTCCCGCCAGTGGTGGTCCCGTCAGCGATGGTCCCGCACTTGCCCAGTCCTGCGAGCGAGAGCCTCCCCTGCACGCCGTGTCGCAGTGTCCCTGCATCGGACGCGGACGTGCGGCACGCGATTGAGGCGGCGGCTGACAGACGCTTCAGCTTCTCTCGCAGGTCAGATGCATGGTCACAGACAATAACTGTCCGAAATGGCCAAATTGTTCTGAGTCCGGTCTAAATTTTGTCCGGGCCACTGTCGTAGACGGCAAGGCAGGACCTGACGTGCGAGAGGACCAGAGCGGCAGGGTAGGTGGCACCGATTCTGAAAGGTGGCGCGTCTCGAGTGGGCGACGCCAACCGACGTCACCGAGGGTGGCGCGTCCCGAGCGGGCGACGCCAACCGACGTCACCGAGGGTGGCGCGTCCCGAGCGGGCGACGCCAACCGACGTCACCGAGGGTGGCGCGTCCCGAGCGGGTGACGCCTACCGCCGTACGGAAACGGCGTCACCGAGATTACCGGAAGCAGTGGGGTAACACACCAGAGGTCCTGACCTCAGTGCAGGGCTCGGGGTGAACTCTCTGGAAAGTGATGGCGGAGACGCTGTAAGGACTAAAGCGCGCATGTTTTGTTTATTTCCGGAAGTAATCAGCTGGGCTGTGTTTGGTTTCACGTGAAGGAAATCCGTGCACAACCAGGCGTCCAGCCAAGGATTAGTAACGGGACACCTGGTTGCCGTCAGTGATGTAAATGACGTCAGCAAGGGCTGTGAACAGACTGCAAGTTCATTAGAGACATGAAGCGTGGGCGGGGCACGAGAAAGGAGCCCTGAAAAAGCCGACATCATAAGGAACCCATAAGCCCCCAACCCCACGTCCAATCCATGGGCTCATAAAGTCAGTGCACCCCCAACCCATGAGCTCACAAGGTTCGTGCAAATAGACCCTCTGTATATTGTGGTTCAGGAAGCAAGCCTTTTGAGCACGTGCCCCGTGCTCAAACAATGTGCAACGTGTGCAGCGTGCAAGTTGGCGTCAGGAATGCAGGCTTCTTGAAGTAGGCTCTCTGAATGCGACTTTGATTGAAGCAGTCCTACTGAGCGCAGGTGCTGTGAAAGTAAAATTTCGAAACGAACGCGTTCTGAAAGTAGACCGTATAAAAGAAATTTGCCCTTACACCTTCGGAAAAAGGATTTGTGAATGTACGGCTTTTGGAGCGACTCCACCCCCCCCCCCCCGCCCCCTCCCCTCGTGTCGAGGAAAACTTGATCGTGATGTTAAGGCACGCCTCTCATCTAATGAAATCTGGTGGCCTCCTGGATCGCTATTGTTTGCTGCCCTCTTGGCTTTATAACGTGCGTTAGCGTCAAAAAGCTTCAGGAACGTGTTGTCTGTCCGTTGTCACGTGGCTTCCGTGTATCCAAAGCTCCCGGTAACTTTCTGCGTGACCCACACTACACTTCGCTGTCCCCAGCCCCACCATCTGTATAGTGTAACAGGTACTGCCTGCTCGCCATGTTACAGACCTGCTCCGCGTGTCCGCTGTACCGATGAATTTGGCTTATCCGTTATGCTGGTAGGCTCCTCATATGCGCCGTGTTGCCCTGCTGCCGTGAGGTGACGTGCGGCAGCTGCGGCATCGCTGCTTGCGTGTGCGTTTGCCGTGTTACCGAGCGTGTCCACCTGTCCGCCAGGTGGCCGCTGGCTGGAGGCGGCGCTGTGCGTGTTTGCCGTGTTGCCGAGCATGTCCACTTGTCCGCCAGGTGGCCGCTGGCTGGAGGCGGCGCTGCGCCGTGCCGACGGCGCCGGCGTACCCTCGGCCGTGCTGCTGACCGAGCCGACCCTGCTGGACGGTGTGTGTCGGCTGCGCTGCAGGGACACCACACTCAGCCACCAGCTGCACGTGTCCCAGGTCACCGAGGTCACGTGAGGTCCTGCCACGGATAAGCCGCCGGCGCGCTGGCGAGTGTTCCGCGTGTCACAAAGCGGCGTAGGTGACCTGGTTGTCTCGCTTTATGGAGATGCCTCGGCGGGCTTGTGTTTAAGGCTTCTGGGGGTGTTGAAGAGGCCGATGGCCCAGGTGGTGTGGGGGTCGACTCGCGGTCCGGCCGCGCCGAGCCGTCGGGATAGGACCGTGAGGTGTTGGCGATCGCCTGGGCAATGTCCAGTCAGCCCGCGGCGGCGCCGCACCGGCTGTTCGTCGGCGGACCAGGCCAAGCCGTCCCGGCCCAGCCCCTGCGCCGTGATAGAGACAGACCACCGGAGGGGCGCGCGAAGTGTCGACTGGGCTCGGTCAGATGCTGCCGCCCGTGCGCCCTGGCGTTTGACGGACCAGGCCGCAACGACGACGGGATTGGGAGCCATGTGATAATTGGTGTGTGAGACCAGGCCTAGTGCCCGTCACACTACCTCGTGTGTGGCCTGGCCGGCCGCTCCTGCGCGCGCCACAGCCGCCGTCAGACCTGTGAATAAACGCCGAGCATTCACAAAACTCCTATATGCATCTTTAGCACGCTCATTTCACATCACATTTCACAGCGTCACTGCCGGCGTCTCGGCGCAGCCGAGGCGGAGCCGGTGGCACCTCCGCTCTCGCGGGCGTCGACGAGCGGCGGCGCGCGCGGCAGCTGAGCCGGCGGCGGGCCCCAGCCGCGGACCCGCCCCTCGGTGCCGACCCGACACCTCACACCCCAGCTGCCGCTGCCGCCAGCGCCGACCACGGCCACCCAGTGCTGGGCTGGCGCGCCATCACCCACCGCTCGCTATCACCACAGAGAGAGGACGCCCTACGCTGACTAGACACTCTAAGTGCGGAGGTGGCGGCGTGGACGCTCTGTCGGACGCCGGGCGACAGCACGGCTCGTCGGCCACGCCGCTCGCCCGACTGTCTTCGGTCGGGCGTGGAGCGGCGGCCGCTGATGGGCCGGAACTCCTGCCGGAACTCCTGCCGGAACTCCCGCCGGAACTCCCGCTGGAACTCCGCGCGCCGACGGCCGGCAGCCTCTCCACCACTAATTTAAAGCCAATGTTGCGATGGGCCGGCGCGGCGCCGGTGCGTCCGCCGGCGTCGTTTCAGGAGGCGCCGACCGTCTCCCGGGCCTGTCCCTCCGTCACCGTCCCCCCTCCCCTGTCAGCTGTCCAGACCAACACAGGCCCCACCCGCCCGGTCGGCAGCCCGCCAACCCCCCAGTTAGACGGCCTGCTAGTGGGGCCGTGCGTGCCCGGCTGGCCCGGCCCCACGCGGCCGACGCCACCCGTGCTGTAAAGCTCTGTGATCGCGACACAGGCGCTGAGAGAGCCGGCTGTGCGGGCGACGCGACTGATCCGCTGACGCAGCAGCCGGCGCGGCCTGCGCAGCGCTCGTTTAAAACTCCGCAACAGACGACGCGCGAGTCTTTAAAATATCCCTGCAGTGTCTGATCGACTCACAACACGTTTATCGCGCGCCACGCGCCAACAGCGACGCCGCGCAGGCCACTGGTGATGTCACGCGCGGACGGTGTGACGTCACCGGCTCAGAAATCCCCGGTACTGCCGGTCGGCGACGTCACAGTCGGACGATGGCTAGGCTGATGGCGCCCTTTGTCTTGCGCAGCAGGTCAATGACCTCCTCGGACGTCATGCCCTTGACCGGGAAGTCGTTCACCTGCGAACGGGGGTCGGGTCACGCGGTCCCCAGACACCGGCCGGGGTGCGGCCCGCAGCAGTAGTCGCATTCTCGCCAGCGACAGCCCAGATTCGTCAGTCTCCGGAGGGAGGGTTACGAAAACCGTGAGTTTCTGACTGTTCTGGTGCTTTTCAACAACTGCGTGAGTGATCTGTGCTTGGTATTGGACGGCTCGAGCCAAACATGGGGACGGAACTCGCAAAGAAAGCAAGGCTCCAATCACGCCAAAGTCGCTCACCGGGAGGGGTTGGGCACTAGCTGACAAGCTGTGCCATGGCCGGCGACGTCTGCGGAGCGCCACCAACCGACTGGAGGTAAGCATGCCGAACCAACTGATAAGTCAGCTGAACCAGGCCGACTCTCGCTAGCTTGTCTGTGACACCCTTGCGTGCAGCGGACGGCCTCGACACGAGAAACAGGCCTCGTCTGCTCCCCATGAAGACGCCAGGGGTGTGGTGTGACCTTGCCGGGGACGCGACAGGCCGCGTCTCACCTTAATAAGGACGTCGCCGACCTGGAGCCGCCCGTCGCGAGCGGCCACGCTGTCCGGGTGGATGTGCGACACGATGTGGCTGCCATCTGTTGCGTGCAGTGAGAAGCCCAGCCTTGACGACCAGCCGCGACGCAGCTGGATACACATGCTCTGTGAATGCGGCACTGAACTAGGACCGACGGCAACCACTAGCAAACCGCTGGCGATGAGCACACACGCCAACAGCGGGCTATGTATACATGATCAGGCCGCAGCATTGCACCTATCTGGCAAACGTACCGCCCACCGCAGCCATGCTGAAGGCCGCTCGCCGACCGGTCGCGCAGCCCGCCCGCAAAACACAAGCGACCGTTGTAGCTACTTCACATCTGAGCTGGGTTGAGGGGGGGGGGGGGTGATGGACTCGCTCCAATAGGTCACTAAATTGACCTCTGGACGTGCTCTCTCTGCCGCTCGCCATACCCCTGGACGTGCCCTCTCCACCGCTCACCTGTCCCCTGGACGTGCCCTGTCCGCCGCCCACCTGCCCCCGCTCTCCGCCGCTCACCTGTCCCCTGGACGTGCCCTCTCCGCCGGAGACGATGCCGCTGTCTGCGTCCTGGTCGCCGCTGTCCAACGTGATGCCCTTCCACTTGGCGAGGTCACCGCCCACGTCCGGCGGCCCTGCGGTGTCCATCCTCTCCTCCGAGCTGATCCGCTTCAGCATGTGGCCCGACTGCAGCCCAGCAGAGGTCAGGTCACGGCCGGGTCACGGCTGGGTCACGGCCGAGTCACGGCTGGGTCGCAACCGAGTCACGGCTGGGTAACGGTTTGGTCACGGCTGGATTACAGCCGGGTTGCAGGCGGGTCACGGCCGCGTTACGGCTCCGTCACAGCCGACTCACCGCCGCGTCACAGCCGGGTCACCGGCATGATATATCGTGGGCCCACCAGGTGACGCCGACAAACCGATAAGCGCGGCGAACTGACCGCGTCCAACGGGACGTCCGAGCAGGCCGATGCACGTCGCATTTCAGTAGGTGATCCGATATCGAATCATCTGTACATCCGTCGGTGCTAAAAACGAAAGAACTTAACGAACTGCCTCGTGGCGCGGACGAGGCGCTCCCCGTCTGCCTGTCACCAGACCGCGGCGCTGCAGCGCTAATAGGGACCATGCCTTGGTGGGCGTGCGCCACAGGCGATGTCCCCTAATCGGATCACCTCTCGCGGCGCTGCAGCGCTAATAGGGGCCATGCCTTGGTGGGCGTGCGCCACAGGCGATGTCCCTTAATCAGATCACCTCTGCAGGTGGGCAGATAGCAGCCCTGCACTGTGACTATCAGTTGGCGGGCGTTTAGCTGCGCCCCGGCACGTGCTGCATAACATGGCCCACCTGAATAGGTTGCCAGACCATAGGGATGCAGACCGATCTCCGGTTCCGTGCGCCGATACATAAAGATGTCATGAAAAACTACAGGAAACTAACCAATAATTTTTTGAAGGCTTATCTGAATCTAGCCGTGTTCTGCTTGCGCTCCTGGCCCGTGGCTATCCCTGTGATCCTGCTGCAACAATGTCCCTGCCATAGCTCTTGGTATTGTGTTCCTCGATCACGCTGTGTCCCCTGACCCGCTCTCTGACCGTGCCAGGTCTGCTGACCTGCTCCTGACTTGACCCCTGACCGCTCCGTGGATGCTGACCTTGGTGCGCTGCTGCGGCTGGACGGAGAGGTAGGCGTGCCGGGCGCGGGCCGAGCCGCCGCCGCCCGCTGGCTCGCCCTCCACCGCCACCCGACGCAGATGGCGCTCCTGCGATCGGCGCACCGGGGTCAGCGGAGGGCAGCCACCGGGCTGTCACACCGTCACAGGTCACCCCCTCCCACACCGTCACACCGCCACAGGTCACCCCCTCCCACACCGTCACAGATCAGCCCCTCCCACACCGTCACACTGTCACAGGTCAGCCCCTCCCACACCGTCACACTCACAGATCAGCCCCTCCCACACCGCCACAGGTCACCCCCTCCCACACCGTCACACCGCCACAGGTCACCCCTCCCACACCGTCACAGATCAGCCCCTCCCACACCGTCACACTGTCACAGGTCAGCCCCTCCCACACCGTCACACTCGCAGATCAGCCCCTCCCACACCGCCACAGGTCACCCCCTCCCACACCGTCACACCGCCACAGGTCACCCCCTCCCACACCGTCACAGATCAGCCCCTCCCACACCGTCACACTGTCACAGGTCAGCCCCTCCCACACCGTCACACTCACAGATCAGCCCCTCCCACACCGCCACAGGTCACCCCCTCCCACACCGTCACACCGCCACAGGTCACCCCCTCCCACACCGTCACAGATCAGCCCCTCCCACACCGTCACACTGTCACAGGTCAGCCCCTCCCACACCGTCACACTCACAGATCAGCCCCTCCCACACCGTCACACCGCCACAGGTCGGCCTCTCCCACACCGTCACAGGTCATTCCCTCTCACACTGTCACAATGTTACAGGGCAGCTCCTCTCACACCGTCACACCGTCACAGGCCAACCCCTGTCACACCGCCACACCGTCACAGGTCGGCCCCTCTCACACCGTCACACCGTCACAGACCAGACCCTCTCACACCGGCACACCGGCATAGGTCAGCCCCTCTCACACCGTCACACCGTCACAGGCTGCATGCGGCTTCAAGTCGGCACCTGTCGCTCCACAGACACGGTCCGAGGGCGTCACAGGACGCCACAGTGCCCAGAGGCCAGCTCGCCTGGACGTCCTGTTCATGTTCATATATTTCGTAACTTTCCACAAGATCCAGTGACTTTTTCAAAGTTACACGTCATCCTTTATAAAAACGGGCATAAAAGAGACAATGTGAAACCAAGTAAAAATGGCCTAACACATCACACATCGGTCAAGGGATCATCTCGGTGAATCACACCATTGCATTCACATTGTGGCATCACACACAATCGAACTCAGACACCCACTCAGTGCCAACATTCGCCTCACTCAGTAGCAACTCCATAAGTTGGCGATTGAAGCGGCCTAGACTCTGAACATTGCGCAAGTCGGGCGGCAGACAGTTAAACAAATGCGATGCTCTGTAGCTAAATCGGCGAGTGCCAGAGTTGTTCGCCGCTCGGGGGCGCCTCAGCTGGTTAGCCCGTCGCGTTTCATGAGTGTGCTCAGCACGTGTGAACATCGCGGCTATATCTGGAGACTGACCCGTGAGTAAGACTTTTGAGCAGGCACAACATATGATATCTGACGAGCTGATTAACACTAAGCCATCGTAGATCCCTGACAACATCCTATATATGGGCACACCTCCTTCCGCTCACAACCCACGTACAGAAGTTCACGAGTTTTTGCACGCGATGGAACTGGGTGGCTCCGTGAGTACCATACAGTGCTATACAGTATCTAATGGAGGAGAGAACTAGAGCTCCGACAATGCGAACGAGGTGTCTCTTGGGAGTACATGCTCGGCATGGGACAGGGTCATCAGAGCGCCCGTCGACCTGGCAACAAGCTGATCAATGAGCGGTTCAAATGTGAGATTTCTGTCCATCACCAAACCAAGGTTTTTGACAATACTGCTTTCAGTGGTGACAGCTGACCTGAACTTGACATGCACAGAAGGCATATGACGCAGCATAGCCTTCGTCCCGAAAACCATTAACAGTGTTTTTGTTGTATTGACTCGCATAGAGTGGTGGTTAAACCAGTCCAACACAATTGACAAGGTACTCTCCATGGTTGCGACAAGCTGTTGGATTGAACTTTTCTTTCCAGTAACCAAAATCTGTGTGTCATCGGCATATTGTATCACTGTGGCACCTTCTGAATATAACGCTAGATCGTTCGAGAAAATGGAATGCAGGAGCGGCTCGAGGGCGGCACCCTGAAACACCCCCATCCCATTGGGAAGACTACGAGAGCGCGCAGTATGCCCCGAAGGATATCTGACCTGAACCCGTTGGGTATGCCCGCAAAGGTAGCTCTTAAACCATTTCGTGTCGATATTGTATATCTTAAGCCTGGGCAAGAGAAGCTGGTGGTCCACAACGTCAAAACATTTTGGCGGATCTATCAAAACAAGCAGAGCGATCTCCCCAGCATCCATCGCGGTGAGTATTGTATCAGTCACTACAGTAAGTGCGGTCTCTGTTGAAAAATTCGTACGATATCCGTGTTGTGCATGCGAAAATAAATCATGCTCGTTAAAATATGAACTAAGTTGATGATGAACAACACGCTCGACTATCTGCTATCGCTGGCACTGCAGAGATTGGCCTAAATTTGGTAGGATCGTTCAAATCACTGGTTTTCGGGAGCGCTGTGACAAGAGGGTGTTTCCCGGCACTGGGCACCGTTCCGTCAATGAATGCTACTGATGACGTCAAGCAGGGGACAGCCGACACCACGAAAAGACTTCTGTAAGAGCTGCGTACTAAGATCATCTGGCCCACAGGACGTCGTCGGGTTCATCGCAGACATAGCTGCAAGCAGCTCATGGCATGACACAGGAAGCACCTTAAATGAGCAGGTCATAACTCGGTGGAGCCTGACTGGCAAAGCCGTGACTCGGTTCGGCACGCTGGCGGCAGTCGTAGGCCCTACATTCACAATGTAGTCATTCAGAGTATCAGGATGAATGTCAGGTGTGGCAGACGTACCCTGCTTACTGCCAGTGATCGATTTAACGCACCGTCACATGCCGGAGTGACCTGCCTCAGAAATCTGCTTCCTAATATGATCGCGACAGTCCCGTCTAATAGCTGCCCGTATCTGTTTATTGAGTGCCTTGTACTCAGCACGCGAACAGCACGCTAGAGTGCGTCGGCACATTTTACAACTCGCAACGCCAGTGGACGTTACGGGTTGGACGCGTGTCACCAGATGCACCCAGCTGGGGGGTTGGTGCCCGCCAGACAATCTGACCTGGATCAGCACTGGCACGCCTCCGTGAACACGCCGAGAGGAACGCTGGGTGATAAGAGGCAGGGGAAGGGTTGCCGTCCCGTATTCAGCAACAGTTAATTCGCCACTCTCCTTTTTAACCAATCGTACACCATTGTGTGATGAGAAGGCCCAGGTGCCTTCGCACACCTACTAGCATGACGGAAAGCTCGGGGCCCACCCAGCAACGTCATAATTACGTCACCCAGGGCGGCTGACGAGCGCCGTTCGTACCTGCAGTTCAGCGTCGCTATCATCGCCGCTATCGGGCCAGCCGTCACTCTCGGCGCCGCCGGAGCTCTCAGAGATACGCGTCAGCTGATCCAGCCGCTCTGACGTCACGTCGTCCATCTCTGGCGGAGCCGAGCTCTCCGAGATGCGCGTCAGCTGATCCAGTCGCTCTGACGCCACGCCGTCCAGAGCGTCGAAGCCCGGGAGGCGCGAGAAGCGGTCCGGCTCCTCCGGCTGCTCGGCCACTGCCAACGGCACACACGGGACGTGTCACGGGACACGGGACGTGTCAGACACGACACCGTTACGGCGCGCCATCGGCTCCCAAAAAGACTGGGAACGCGACAAAGTATCGACACGAGTTTGGCTTTCGAATCGTGTTAAACCTTCAGTAAATAATGTGTATTTACGCCTAAATGTATGTGGTGCCGTTTTGCGGTGACGGATGGCCGCCACAGGAGGAGTGGGGTTCAGGGCTACAACGGCGGGCAGCGCATGAGCAGCGCGTGTGCGTGTGGCGAGGGCAGGGGTGCAGCGGCTGCCGGCAGCGCGTCAGCAGCGTGTGGCGAGGGCAGGGGTGCGGCGGCGGCCGCCGGCAGCGCCTCAGCAGCGTGTGGCGAGGGCAGGGGTGCAGCGGCGGCCGCCGGCAGCGCGGCTCAGTGACACAGACTGCACCGCTGGTCGGCCGATCGATATCAGAAGGTCGATGCGGCGCCGGCCGGCCCGTGGTACGGTATGGTGAGGTCCGGTGCGGCCCGAGCCAGGAACAGAGGCTGGCGCCGCCCGCCAATTAGAGCGGCCGCCACCCCTCCCCGCCAGCCCCGGGGCGCGCGGCCGTCAGCCCCGCGAGGCCTCGGGTCACCCGCCAGCCGGGCCCGGGCAAGGGGCAGGCGTCGCTGGGTACGGGACGCAGTAACAGACAGGTCGGTGACGACTGGGCGAGATGGTAGATGCGGAGCGTTGGCAAGAGTGAATCAAGGAGTCCGGAAACATCACGAGACGGATGTCACACCGGTGACAACTCCCGAAGGAAGAAAGAGAGAGGAAGGAGGAGAGCCAATACCAATGGCGACTTATCCAGAGCGTTGACGAAATCGCCAGCTTGGTTGCAGCCGAACAACCCGAGACATCGGAGCGCAATGATTACTGCAGCCTTCAAATATCCCCTCCATCATCCCCACTTTATCTCTGGAGATCTCCCAGAAGTAGTGTTTCGTGATCCCACCCCATTGAACACAACAGCCTTAACATAATGGCGAGAAATTTGCACAGACTCATCGATTGTGCCATGGTGGGACATATGTAATGCAATATCTCTGGTACACACACACGCTGACACCCGAGCTGCATATGCTGCATGCTAAAGCTGCATATATATGCAGTTGTCGGCCCGGTGACACGTGACTGTCCGCCCCGGCCGCTCCGCCAGACGTCGTTTGGCCACACGTGATGCCCGGCCGGGCCGCTCCGCCAGACGCCGTCCTGTCCAGTTTGTCGAGCACAGACACCGGCGGCGGCGGCGCAAGTGTGCGCCACACGTGGCGTCGCGGCGGCAGCTGTGGCGCCCCGCGACGATGCGTCAGAGGCGCCAGCTGACCCGCCGGCCGCGGCGCGCCCCGCCGCGCCAGCTGATACTGAGCCAGCGCCGGAGCGCACGCCAGCCCCGCTGTCTCACACGCTGGTCGAAGTGCACCAGCCGGTGCGTGATTGACGGGTGTCGGAAACATCCACAGATCTGCGGTCTGGTGTCGAGTTACAACAGGTGTTTTTTATGCTTCCAAGCGTCAAAGCCCACAGGCTTATCCGGGTGGGAGTCCTGGGAAAATTTGGCCCGTCATGGCTACTAACATGTTGTCGTCAATGATAAGATATAAAACTTGCGAGCTTGCTTTGATGGCGGCTGCTGGGAATCTACCGCCGGCGACATCTGGCACACGACGTTCTCCACTAGTACAAGCTGATGCATGACCTGCGGCACCAGCGCACACCAGCTGTTAGTGAGCTAGAGCGCGCCGCAGGCCACCAGCTGATCGCGCGATGTATCCACATCACTGACACCGACAAAATCTACAAATCTCACAGCTCCGTTTGGTTCAGCACCGTGGCCATGCTACCGAGCAGAACAGGTATCTGGCCACTGCGTTGCGGCAGCCTGTCGGCCCATGCCGTGTCTCCGGTTTCCTCCATAGCTACCAATCACGGGGCTCCTTACGCGGTGCTGCACAGCACAAGACAGCGTTCAACGCGAGGACAACAGGCCGGCGTCAGCGACCACGCTGGCGTAAGTCAACAAGGCATGATTTGGGCCCACTGTGCCTGAAGCATCTTGCAAAACCAGCACGCAGCCTCTGGATCGGAACATCAAAAACTATGAACATCGGACAAATCGTCTCTGGCGGTGGCGTGAGCTAGAGCGCGCCGGAGCGGGGCAGCCGCTGCTGGAGGGATGGAGGGCAGGATGGACCGTCGGCCGGCGCCGATGGCCGGCTGGCGTGCCGCGGCCGCCCGACGCCGACATCGACCGCACATCTCCCCGGCGGTAGCCGCACATCTCCGCACGCACTCACCGCACGCACAGCCGCCGCACTCAGTTGCTGAAGCTACGTGGCGACGCTCGCCTCTCACCCTAGCAGAAAACGTGGCACGGCGGAGAATCGAGCCCGCTGCCTCAGGTATCCCCGACGCGCAGCATGAACACTGCATTAGCGCCACCATGTGTCCACTGACCGGGCAGTCCGAGAGGCCCCCGAGGAGAGCAGGCTGGCCTCCGGGCCGGGGCGGGAGTCGGACCGGGAGAGAGGCCCCGGCGCGTACACTGGCCTGGCTTCCGGGCCGGGAGAGGGGCCCCGGCCCGTAGGCTGGCCTGGCCTCCGGGCCGGGAGAGGGGCCCCGACCCGTAGGCTGGTCTGGCCTCCGGGCCGGTAGATGGCCCCGGCCGTAGAGTGGCCTGGTTTTCGGCCCGGGGTCCGGGCCGGGCCAGGAGAGGAGCCTCGGCCTGTAGACTGGTCTGACTTCCGGGCCGGGGCTATAGCCGGGCCGGAGCTCGAGCCGGGCCGGTCACCTGATACGCCGGGCTATCGGTCCCCGCCTAGATAAAAGCACTACCATGATTCACGGTCACATGCGCCCAGAGCAGCCACTGGCGCACCCACGACGCCACTTGAAAACGCCTTCAAATTTTTGTCATGCAATTGCCTTTTTTCACACTCCAAACGTGTGTGTTTATATATAGCTCGGGAGCGACCAAGCTCAGGTCAGGTAATGCAGTCCGGGTCGGTGGTGACTGTGCGGCGACAGCTGAGTGACGCCTGCCAGCCGGCTCAGTCGATACCCACGACGAACGGGGGAAGGGGAGGAGGGGGGGGGGGGGGGGGGGGTTGACACGTCACGCCCACAGCCGCCGCTCTCCACATTTAACGGTGGCAAACACGTGTGTGGGCCGACTCGTTCAAGACACGACGGCAATGTGCCATAACCCGAGCCATAAACCACGCTGTTTCTGTGAGAAGTTCCGTCTACGTCGTCGATCGCACCGTACCGGTGCATACCCAGACGGCAGCCTAGACTGTGACACGGATCCCTCGGGTCAGACTGCGACACGGACATCTCGGGCCAGACTACGACACGAACATCTCGTGCCAGACTGTGACACGGACGCCTTGGGCCAGACTGCGACACGGACACCTCGGGCCAGACTGCAACACGGACAACTCGGGCCAGACTGTGACACGGACATCTCGGGCCAGACTGCAACACGGACAACTCGGGCCAGACTGCGACACGGACGCCTCAGGCCAGACTGTGACACGGACACCTCGGGCCAGACTGTGACACGGACACCTCGGGCCAGACCGCGACACGGACGCCCCGGGCCAGACTGCGACACGGACGCCTCGGGCCAGACTGTGACACGGACACCTCGGGCCAGACTGTGACACGGACGCCTCGGGGCAGACTGTGACACGGACACCTCGGGTCAGATTGTGACACGGACACCTCGGGCCAGACTGTGACACGAACATCTCGGGCCAGACTGTGACACGGACACATCGGGCCAGACTGCGACACGGACACCTCGGGCCAGACTGCGACGGAGCAGGCCTTCAGCATGGGACCATAGGACCTTCAGCATGGGACCATAGGACCTTCAGCATGGGACCATAGGACCTTCAGCATGGGACCATAGGACCTTCAGCATGGGACCATAGGACCTTCAGCATAGGACCATAGGACCTTCAGCATGGGACCATAGGACCTTCAGCATAGGACCATAGGACCTTCAGCATGGGACCATAGGACCTTCAGCATGGGACCATAGGACCTTCAGCATGGGACCATAGGACCTTCAGCATAGGACCCCGCCCGGTTGTCTCGAACTCTGGCCAGATCGCCGCCGCCGCAGCGTCCGCCGCCCACGGCCGCGGATCGCCGGTCCGCCGCCCACGGCCGCGGGTCGCCGGTCGCGGCGCGGCAGCGCTGCTGGTCAGCGCGATAGCACCGCTCCCTATCAGCCCCTCCACCCAGAGGGCAGGGCTAGGCCTCTTCATGACTCCTGTCTGGGAGTGCTGGGCCAGGCTGACCATATGAACAGCACCGGGTTATTGGTCAGCAGCGATAAATAAGGGCTGCGTGCCTCTGCGATGTTCACAACTTTAACTAAAAAGGCAGGGATATCAATCACGAAGCGAAACAAACCAAACTAGCTAGGATAGTTACCAGACAACTTCGTCAGTTACCACAACCTTGCTGCAAGACGGCAGAACTGGCTGGGTACCGTTGCTGGGTCACTGGCGGGAGCGCGGCTGGTCGCACTGCCGCGGGGGCTGGCCTCACACCATCCCGTAATCCAGGAACGCCCAAATAGCTCGGCACAGAGAGTCGAACTCACGGAACTCACGGGGCTCCACAAAACGCTAAATACCTCAAAGGCTACAGCTGAACATTAGTTGTTGATATGTATGCCCCTCTTCGATGGCCTTATCCGATTCTGCTGCACAAGTGCAGCCGTCAGGAACGTTCTGAGCGCCGCTCTACTGGGAATGGTATGCGGTATGCGCCATGCACTCACCGGCAGCGAGCACGTGCGTCAACATGGCCTGAATCAGTGACTTGGTGGAGGCTGCCAGATAGCGAACACGGGTAGCGTGCTTAGAGAATGACTGTGTGGATACGGTGCACCAGTGGCACTTGCCGTAGATGCTCTGCTGGGAAAAGTGTACCTTTTACACTTTCATGCAAATCCCAGACATGTAAGCATGGACGACAAAAATTTAAGCATTGCTTAACATGTGCCCGGGTGGTCGGTTGAATATCCTTCGCTCGGGTGTAGGTCAGTTTGACCCCCTGATACCTCGACTGCTAAGAGAGCTAGAGACGCCCAAATCACACGGTGGGTTCTTCTGCATTGTCAAATTTGGGATATATAGGTCATGCCGTTCGTGTCGAATAAGATCAAAAAAGGCCAAAACCAAGATTGATGTTCAAAGTCCCCCAGCCGTCCTCATGCAACCGCCTTGAACTTAGGCACCTGTCCTCAGCAAAAGGTTGCTGGTGTTCAATTTCGTTCAGCGACCCCGTTTGACTTTTAGGTCATGGTGACCAAAAACCTACCAATAGTTTTGATTTTTGAAGTTCAATAGTGCATAAGATTACGCTAGGCGGTACGTTCTTAAAAGAAAAGGCTCACCTGGGTCATTTAAGGTCAGTGACCTAAGCTGACCAAGAATGCCACGGAAGAAGTCTGTTGTCGTCCCCGTCATCGCAAATTGTAACTGAGCATCAGAAACTGTCCCATAGAACTATCTCACGAGACAAGCTATATAACAAAAAGGCAGGTTGGTTTTGACCTTGGTCTGACGCTTACACCTAACACCAGGTCAAAAGAATTTGTTATAAGCCGAAATTCGATTGTTGTATTGCCTGTGAAATGATCTCAGAGACGTAGCTTCGTCGTACACTACGTTGTCACACCAGATTGAACGATTCCCTAGAAACTACCCTCCCTGACAGCGACGGCGTGACCTTGACCTATCATAGGTCACCGGCCTTAAACGTTGCACCTAATTTTGCTCAACAAAAACATCTGCTATTCAGCCGCCTAGAGCTATACTGTTTGACGTGGCCACGCCGCGCCTTTCTAAAATTATCTTATACAACTCTTCGTAGGCGAGGTCATTTATACAACTTTTCGTAGGCGAGGTCATCTGTACAACTCTTCGTAGGCGAGGTCAAGCTGAGGACCAGCCGGGCGAGCGGCAATGACTGTAAGACACCAACATCGCTATTTTGGGGTATCGAACATGGCCTACATCTATTAAAATGGGGTCTTGATTACAATCAATATCATGAATTATGGAATAATAAAACAGTTTCGGAACGGCGCAGTCACCACACAGATAACTGACATTATAAACTCAAATGCCTGCTAAAAATTGTCTTCATATGAAGGTCATCTAAAGTGCCAAAGGGAATAGGCGCTTCACGTGAAAAGACGGAAACAAGTCCTTGTGAAACCGAAGAGAGGCTTCTAAATGACAATTTAAGCGATTGACTGCATGACCACATGACTTAGAAGGGAGTGAACTATTTCCATCTCACGAACTATAAACAGCTAAGCCTTGAAGCAATACTCTACACTCTGTCTACATCAACCGGCAGACGCACGCGCGACAGACTTCCGACGTCTTTAAGTCATAAGCACCCCAGGTAAACCACCCAGCGGCATCTACGCCATAACACCTCCGAAACAGTAGCGCCCTTGTGCAGGCCAATCAACGGCACGGTTTCACATCCCGCGAGGCCTACCGCCATGACCCTGGGCCGAGTGGCCGAAGGCTGGGCTGGCCGCTGGTTGTGGGCCTGTCCAGCAGCTGATGAGAATCTGCTGCTGGATCTGATCTGATCTGACCGGCAGCTGATTGTGGGCCTGTCCGGCAGCTGATGAGGATCTGACCAGCAGCTGATGAGGATCTGACCGGCAGCTGATGAGAATCTGTCCAGCAGCTGATGAGGATCTGTCCGGCAGCTGATGAGGATCTGTCCGCCAGCTGATGGGGATCTGACCGGCAGCTGATGGGGATCTGTCCGGCAGCTGATGAGGATCTGTCCGGCAGCTGATGAGGATCTGTCCGGCAGCTGATGAGGATCTGTCCGGCAGCTGATGAGGATCTGACCGCAGCTGATCGTGGGCCTGTCCGGCAGCTGATGAGGATCTGACCAGCAGCTGATGAGGATCTGACCGGCAGCTGATGAGAATCTGTCCAGCAGCTGATGAGGATCTGTCCGGCGGCTGATGAGGATCTGTCCGGCAGCTGAGCGCAACAGCGGGCTCAACAACAACAACATCTGAGCCTCAGGGGTGCCGTGTTGGCCGGGTGGGACGTGCTGCAGACGTTCGACTGGCGTGCTCACCAGCCCCTCCTCCCCCCCCCCTCCCACGCTCCAGTGAGCTCGGCTGGCCGGCGCCACCCACGCCGCCTGCCTCGGCACTCGCCTGGTGCAGGACACCCAGACCACGAGCCAGCCCCGGCCCGGTCAGCCAGCGGCGCTGCCGCCCCACCTCAGCCGTCGTCTGTCTCCAGGCGGGACTGACCCAGGTCAATAACCCGACCGGAACTGGTCGCACCGAATCCCAGCATTACATGTGGGAGAGATTTGGGGCGGCTCCATGGACTGGTGCCGGGCCGACACGGCTCCGGCCGTACTGACTCCACAGCCATGAAGCTCACCACCCTGCAGCGTCCATGATCCCGACGCCGAGCCGGGGTCATGGGCGTCCGCACCCGCTCCCAGCGCCCGCGCCCGCTCCCCGCCCGCCACGTGGCCTCACACAGCACAGGTCTGGCGTGGCCCGAGGCCAGACCGCCCCGGTCCGGCCTGGCCTGGCCTGGGGCGGGACCCGGCGCCGCCGGCCGTACCTGTCTGGCGCGTGCGGGAGTGTCCGGCCGCCGGGTGTCGTCCGTACCCCGCTCTGTCGGCCGACACCCGACCTCGGTCGATACCCACTGACAACTGACGGCCGACGCTCACAGCGGCCGGCCGCCCGGTCGCCACAGCAGGCCGCCGCCGGTCGATAGCCCGGCAACAGGTACCCATGTGTGTGTACAGTGTACCGCTCGGCGGAGCGGGCCGGCGCCGCCGCACCGACGGGCCGCCAGTGTGGCCGGATGACGGGGCGGGACCCAACACAACAACTCGGGCGCTTGACATTCAGGAATGCAGTCGGAAATCCAGTAGGATCTGGGCAGTGTCCATTTAGCGCGTTTTACATAGACTGCTTTGGGGTTGCAGTTGAAACCGAGCTTATGTTTTCAAGCCGACAGCCTGCCAGAAGCCTGCCACAAAGTGAGACCCATCTATGAACAGAAGGGAGCCCTCAAGTACGCACTCACCCCGGCCCCTTGCAGAGGCTAATCATTGGGAAAACCTGAATTAATAGTTGATTGTGTCAGGCTGTTTGAGGGGATCGTACGCTTCGGTGAGGCACGACAGTGTTCTCTGAAATGTTTGTGTTTACAAAATAATCTTATGGATGCCAGCGTCCAGTGCCGTGTACCGTGAGGAGCCCTGTTTGATGGTTGAGCTGGATTACCGCAAACGCTGAATATGATCGACTTCAAACGTGCACAAGTCGTGTTACTTGTGTCATCTTCACCAGGATAGACATGTGAATAAAGGAACCCAAGTGGAAAAACATGTAGAAATTTTCCCACAGCGACACGGCACGTGGGATGGTGACCGTGCAGTACGTACGGCACGTGCAGCACGTGCACACGGCCGCCGTGCCAGCCTTTTAAAGGATTCAGCTGTTTCCGATGGCTTGCTACACAGTTGGCTTTTGGTTCAAAGCGCTTGTCATGCAGCGCTCGTTGCTTGCACTCTGATCCTACCACCTATCATGGGCTTATCAATTAGCGCGATACAGTTGCCCGCGGAGTGTTCCCACCAGGGCTGCGGAGGGTCCAGCCAGTGTCACAGCACAGCCGCCCGCGGAGGGGCGACCTTCGTTGGCCAGCTGCCAGCTGACCTTTCCGTGTCAGCCGGGCCAGACAGCACGCCCGTCTGGGAGCGGCCACGTGACTCGCACGGCGGATTCAGTACGTGTCTCTGGGACCGCAGAAGTGGTTTGTCGCTCTTTGTTAGGGGACCCTTACACGTTCCGCAAGCGACCCCCCCCCCCCTCCCCCCGCGTTGCTGATACGTAAGAGGCAGGACCATTCATCCAGCAGGCCGGTCGGTCGTGTGTCAGCTAACTGTCAGCCCACAACTCAGCTGCTCTTTCCCAGCCCATACGACCCCACCAATCGCACTTGGCTTGTCGCGGGTGTCCGTCCTCCCTGACCTGACCTGACCTGACCTGACCTGACCTGACCCGACCTGGCCTGACCTGATATGACCTGAGCCTGATCCCAGTTAGCACCGGCTGGCAGACAAGGCAGGACTGGTTACGGTACCAACACTCTGTCGCCGACCGACACCAGCCACGCCCTCGACCCTGTTTCGGCACGTCTGGCTCTCATTGACCCAGACCATATCTGAGAATGTTCATGTCTGGCCCCGTCTGAGATGGACATATTGGAAATTTGAACGCAAATTTGAACGCAAAAAAAAAACGGAGAGGAAATTCGAAGGACCTTGTCTTGAAGAAACAGAAATTTGATCGCAAATTTGTAGCATTAGGGCGCATCGTCCGTTTGGGTGATATGGCGCATACCATTGCTATCGATGACTTGCTATTAGATGGCCGCGGCTGGCGACATGGCACCGTACCAACCAACCTCCGCATACACTAACAAACGCGCGGACCAATTACCATAGCACAGCGAAATGCACTCGGAGTGCTTTGCTCCATCATGACCTCGGTTAGTTCGTTTCACAGACTACCTGAATCCCAGCATGGTTTTAAAATGATGGAACGGAAGCGCATCTACCGCGAAGCCTTCGTCGGGAAGCTGTGAGACTGATGATACAGAACAAATCTTCCTTTCTGCGTCAGGAGTCCAGCACATACTCAGTGCGTGTGGCTGGGTTGCCCGCACAACGCCCGCATAGCGGAGGGGCAGCTCCATCAGATGTGTATGACGAGTGCGCGCGTATCTGGCGCGCGTGATCCGGCCGGTGTCAGCAGAGTGCGCCCTGATATGCCGGCTTCCTGCCGTGACTGAAAGCTGTCGGCGTGCTCACCTGTCGGCTCCGGGCCGGGGCTGGGCGTCTGTCGGCGGCGGCGCAGGCGCGGAGAGCCGCGAGAGCCACAGCTCAGACGGCGCACCTGCTCAGCCCGTGAGCCGCGCCGCGCCGGCGGCTCCGGCGCCGCCCCCTCGCCCTCACCCTCCGGTAGGCTCAGCTCGCGACGAAACGCCAGGCCCGTCAGCATCTGCACCGCCTCCGGCCTGCCGACACAGGCCAGCGGTTACAGCCAGGTCAGGGGACGTCAGCACCTGCACCGCCTCTGGCCTGTCGACACAGGCCAGCGGTTACAGCCAGGTCAGGGGACGTCAGCACCTGCACCGCCTCCGGCCTGCCGACACAGGTCACTGGTCATAGCCAGGTCAGAGTCAGGGGACGTCAGCATCTGCACCGCCTCCGGCCTGCCGGCACAGGTCACTGGTCATAGCCAGGTCACAGCCAGAGGGTACCTACATACGGCCTCCGGCTGGTCGGAGCTGGTGACGGACCGCACGAAGGTCACCGACAGAGGCGTATCCCCATCTGGCACCGGCTCCGGCCCGCCAGCCCCGAGCACGGCTCATAGAACGGTTACGAGATCAGCGAGGCCACAAAAGTCACAGACGTCGTGGAGGTTATAGAGGTCATTAAGTCCATAAGGTCATAAATTCCAGGTCACTAAGTTCATAGAGGTCAAAGAGGGCACCACGTGACACGGGACCGCCGTCGCCTGCTGCCCGGCGGCCCAGGTCACAGGCCGGCGGCCGGTGCCAGGCGCCGCCGGCCGGCCGCCGCCGCCGCCTACCTCAGCCGCGTGGAGCGAGTCGTCACCGGGCTGCCCGGACTGCCGGGCGTCGCCTGGCCGTCCCGGTACAGCGTCAGCGTCACCCGCTGGCCGCTCTGGCGCAGCAGCGACACCACCTCGGCGTGGGACATGCAGGTGGTGTCGACGCCGTTCACCTGTTGGGCGGCGAGTGATCGCGTTACAGCCGGGTCACAGAGCAGCGGCGCCCGGTGCAGGGTCCGTGTCTCAGGCACACTGCATGGCCTCGGTTCACCCACGTCCCAACAATCGATCTTGCCCCAAAGATCTGTTTTAATCATAGCACATTAAAGACAATGCTGAATAGCTTTACGCGCCACCGATCTTTAGTGGCTGCTATCCATATGTGTGCTTTACCACGACGAGTGACTTCAGTCACACAACACCCCCAGCGCCGGCCGGCCGCGTCACATCGGCCAGCAGGCGGGGCAGACCCTGCGACCGGCATCCGAGGCTGACCGCCGCCGCCGCCGCCGCGCGTCTGGCCTAGATCCTCGACCTGACCTGACCTGACCTGACCTGACCTGACCTGACCTGACCTGACCTGACCTGACCTGACCTGACCCGACCTCACCTGGATCAGTTTGTCGCCGACGCGCAGCCTGACGTCGCTCAGCGCCGGCTCGCGCACCTTGGCGCGGATCGTGTGCCCCAGCACGGTGTCATCGGTGCGGCGCAGGCTCAGGCCCAGCGTGTTGTTCACCTTCTCCAGCGCCACCTCGAACGTCTGGCAGTAGGGGCGAGTGGTGAGAGCGGCGAAGCACCTAGCCGCCCTGCTGGGCCTCGACCATCTGGCTCCCGTCTGCCAGCCCGCCATCCTTGCTACCCATCAACTTAACGGTCTTTAACAGAGGTGCCTAACATGAAATAAATTGGCAAATATCAGTTTAGAAAATTGCCCCATATCTCATCTACCAAAGTACAGAATTCGGTACCGTAGCGTGGGACGATGCGGCATTCGAATTAGACATTCTGCCTACGACCAACAGGTGGCACCACAGGTTGGACACCACGCACCACGGGATAGCCCTGCCACCTGGCACGAGACCAGCCCAGCCCCACGTTGACTTCAGGACGCGGCGCGGTCCCACACCCACACATTGGGCCCCACAGCAGCGCCAGCTCTTAGCTACGGCAGCTGACAGAACTAGCGCCTGCCGAGACGCCAACAGATGGCAGGAATGTGGGTCTGGCCGCCAGATGAGTCACAGGCTTGACGGCCAGCGGCGCTGGCGGGAGGCCAACGCTTCAGATGCGGCTGGAAATGTGGACAACACGGGCTAAAAGGAAAGAGGCAGAGCAGGGAGATGAGCAAGAGCGCGAGAGCGCGCGAGGGAGAGAGAGGAGAGAGAGGAGAGAGAGAGAGAGAGAGAGAGAGAGAGAGAGAGAGAGAGAGAGAGAGAGAGAGAGAGAGAGAGAGAGAGAGAGAGAGAGAGAGAGAGAGAGAGAGAGAGAGAGAGAGAGAGAGAGAGAGAGAGAGAGAGAGAGAGAGAGAGAGAGAGAGAGAGAGAGAGAGAGAGGAGAGAGAGAGAGAGAGAGAGAGAGAGAGAGAGAGAGAGAGAGAGAGAGAGAGAGAGAGAGAGAGAGAGAGAGAGAGAGAGAGAGAGAGAGAGAGAGAGAGAGAGAGAGAGAGAGAGAGAGAGAGAGAGAGAGAGAGAGAGAGAGAGAGGAGAGAGAGAGGAGAGAGAGAGAGAGAGAGAGAGAGAGAGGAGAGAGAGAGAGAGGAGAGAGAGAGAGAGAGAGAGAGAGAGAGAGAGAGAGAGAGAGAGAGAGAGAGAGAGAGAGAGAGAGAGAGAGAGAGAGAGAGAGAGAGAGAGAGAGAGAGAGAGAGAGGAGAGGAGAGAGAGAGGAGAGGAGAGAGAGAGAGAGAGGCGGGACACACGGTGCCAGAGGAGAGGGATGGAGCGGGCGCCGGTAGCCCGTCTCGGCAGCCTTGAGACGCACATTACAGGCAAACGCGTGATATCTCATAGCAAAACATTTCCTCGGTAACGAATAACGATACATTCAGCCAGCACGTTTCGGGAATCAAGGCGACTTTGTAACTTTTGGAAAATAAAGACCCCTCAAAATTCCTTTAGAAAATGCATCGCGCCCGTCATGATGTCATCGTGGAACGGCGACACGTGCAGAAATCCTGCCCTCCTCACCAACTGGGCGCGACGGATGGTCGCCAGGGCCGCCGGGTAATGACTCAATCCCCGTCGGATGACCCAACGAAAAACCGGGCCTTCAAGCGGGATTCGCCCATCACAAAACCATAGTGGGGGTGGCCAAGGACACCCAGCGAGGCCCAGCCCGGCGAGACGTCCGTCCGGAGACTCTTCATAGCCCCTGCTGGCACGAGGGGCCAACGAGGGGCCAACTTCGTAGCCCCTGCTGGCACGAGGGGCCCCAAGCATGTGCCGCCCTGTCGTGACTCCGACGGGCGCTAAATCAGCTGACGACGGCTCCTGCACCAGCACTCGATGACTCAACGCCGGGCTGACTCACACTCTGGCAGTCGCAGCAGTGTTTGACGGCGAGTTGGATGACTCTTGACTACACCCGGCGCCAGCCGACACCTGGTCCAGTTCGTCCCGCGATGACTCTGACTCTTCCTCGCACCTGACGTGCACTTAGCATGAACTGCCTCAGCCCCCCCCCCCCCTCAACAGACCCGGCAGCTATGACCTTTTGCCCCGTAGGTCGCTGTCGCGTTACGACCAACCAACGCGCGTCGCCACTGCACCCACCGACGGCATCTCTAAAGTGCATGACTAGCCAGATAGCCCATGACTCGTGGCATGACTCACCCCCACACACTCGGGCTCCAGCCGCAGAGAGGAGCGGGAGGCCGACTCCGACTCGTCCCGCCCGCCTGAGTCAGAGTCGGAGTCGGAGTCGGAGTCGCCGTCGTCGGCCGCCGGGCGCGCCAGCGAGAGCAGCACCTCCGTGCCGGCCAGTCGCAGCACGTGCAGCACCTCCTGAGGCAGCGGCCGAACCCCCACGTCATTCCCCGGCCGGTTGACACCTGACCGTTATCATACACATCAACGCAACGGCCCGGTCTATTTGGCGCGAAAGCCGCGCGAGTGGATGCATGCAGGTGCCTGGGGGCATATACGTGTCAGTGAGTGCCAACGCTGGCGCGCGGTTCGTGTGAAACTCGCAAACTGCGAAAGATGCGCGTACGTCACCCCGCAAGACACGATCCTTCCGATTTGAAGACGTACGGCTCGCGCGCTGGCTGGTATATCGCAAAGTATGTCACGCACAGGCGCCAAGTATAGCGCGCACATCTGGACCACTCCACCCCTGTTATGAAAGCGACGGACCGAGCGCGGTGGGCAGTGCCAAATGGGTCGGCGCGTCGGGAATATGTCGCTTGCATCTTATGCAGATGCAACACGAGCCGTACTCCGGCAAGCAGATGCCTCTAGACACGTCCATGCCAACACAAAGTCTTAAAAACGAAGAGCAGTTCATCTCGCTCATAAAAGAGCAAACACAAATGCCTGCAAACGCCAGGGGCGCTCTACAAAATAGCAACAGACGGACGGAGACAACGCCGTCCTGGGGGCATATAGCATGCACAGGACAGCCTGTATAGCCTGTATAGACAGCCTGACAGCCTGTATAGCTGCCTCAGGACAACGCCGTCCTGGGGGCAGACTTCTCGGCGTCCACAGTCATATCTGATCAAAGTATACCTTCCACTTCCAGGAGCTGCTGAAGGAGGACTACTTCCCATCGCTACACTACAGATATTGCACTACATTTCACAAACACAAACTGCTGCTGAAGACTTACTTCCCATCGCTACACTACAGATATTATACTACATTTCACAAACACAAACTGCTGCTGAAGACTTACTTCCCATCGCTACACTACAGATATTACACTACATTTCACAAAAACAAACTGCTGGTGAGGATTTACTTCCCATCGCTACTCTACAGATATTACACTACATTTCACAAACACAAACTGCTGCTGAAGAATTACTTCCCATCGCTACACTACGGATATTGCATTACATTTCGCAAACATATACTGACTTTCGTCAGAGCAGAAAGAAAACAAAATGGCCTTTCCCCCTGGCCCATAACTACTGATCGGCTAGCCAGTAAACACCGCGCTTCTGCCACCTAACTCCTGATGACCTGGACCGTGGCAGCAGTACTGACATGGACGGAAAGGCCCCGGTGGCGGCAGTACTGACCTGGACGGAGAGGCCCCAGTGGCGGCAGTGCTGACCTGGACGGAGAGGCCCCGGTAGCGGCAGTACTGACCTGGACGGAGAGGCCCCGGTGGCGGCAGTACTGACCTGGACGGAGAGGCCCCGGACGGGCATGTCATTGACGCGCAGCAGTACGTCTCCCGGCCGGATGCAGCCGGTCAGCGCCGCCGGCTGGTGCGGGAAGACGCGCTTCACGCGCACGTGGCTGGGCCAGGCGGGCGCCGCACTCTCCACGCTGAGGCCGAGACCGCGCGAGCCGCGCGTCACCGTCACGTCCCAGCTGGCCGCTGCCGGCACCGTCAGGTCAGGTCAGGTTAGGTTAGGTCAGGTCAGGTCAAGGTGACGCCCGCTGACGCCGTCACACGGGTCACAGCCCGGGCGCCGGTGGCGACGACGGACCGAGGTGCCCGGGGCGGGCTGATGACAGCTGACGAGGACGTCACACGGCATACCTCAGCGCCAGCCCAGAGCGCCACGGCCTCCAGCGTCCGCTGGCGTGTTCACCACCAGGGGACAGTAGAGGCATAGCCAATCGTGGCAATAACGGGCGGCGAGAAGCTCCTCCGGTGCACCTCAAGCCGCGCATGGCGACGCAGTGACAACACGGTATTACTTATCACATCAGCCGCGAGAGCACGCACACACCCTTTTAACGGTACACAAAATCAGCACGACGACCGCGACGGCAGCCTCATGTGATGACGTCACGGCCTCGTGTGATGACGTCAAAATGCATCCTATGACGTCGCAGCTCAGGACAATGTCTGACAAATGCGCCACAGCAGCCGACACCGAGCCGGGCGAGCCTAGCGTCGGCTCCCGAACGGCCGCCTCACGCACCTTCGCGGGGCGCGGCGCGCCGCCGGCCCTGGCCGCTGCCCTCGCGGCGGCCTCTGGACGACCTCTCGTCCTGCAGCGGCTCCAGCCAGATGTCGCTGCCGCGCAGGTTGATGCTCATCCCGAACCTGACGGCGCCGGCACACACGTCCGTCACACGGGAACGCGCAGGCTGATGCTCATCCCGAACCTGGCGGCGCCGGCACACACGTCCGTCACACGGGAACGCGCGGGCTGATGCTCATCCCGAACCTGGCGGCGCCGGCACACACGTCCGTCACACGGGAACGCGCGGGCTGATGCTCATCCCGAACCTGGCGGCGCCGGCACACACGTTCGTTACACGGGAGCGCGGAGGCTGATGCTCATCCCGAACCTGACGACGCAGGCACGCACGTCCGTCACACGGGAGCGCGGAGGCTGATGCTCATCCCGAACCTGGCGGCGCCGGCACACACGTTCGTTACACGGGAGCGCGGAGGCTGATGCTCATCCCGAACCTGGCGGCGCCGGTACACACGTTCGTTACACGGGAGCGCGGAGGCTGATGCTCATCCCGAACCTGGCGGCGCCGGTACACACGTTCGTTACACGGGAGCGCGGAGGCTGATGCTCATCCCGAACCTGGCGGCGCCGGTACACACGTCCGTCACGCGGGAACCCGGAGGCTACTACACCGGAAGAGGCGCTCCTGATCACACCTGAGAATGTGGAACACTCCACACATCAGCCTTCTCCGGGCAGTAAAGACCACGGCAAGACTGCACACAAGCTACGTTCGGTTCCGGCCGCCAGAAGTTTTCGCGTGCCCGTCTCCCAAAAAGATGAGAGAGGCATCACGCCCTGACGTAACCTGAGCGGTCGGTATGTAACCGCAAGATGACGCGTTCGATTCTTGCCAGCGGCAGCTTTCAATGGTACACCTGCCGACGGTGCAACAGCTACAACGTCGGCAAGCTCCGTTAGAGTGGTACCATCAACGGCATGAGCGCCCGCGGATGTCCGTGTTAAACTGATGTAGTTTGTATCCAGTGTTCGCCTGTGTGAACTCGCGCCCAGCGCTGGTCTGACTCGCGCCCAGCGCTGGTCCAACTCGCGCCCAGTGCTGGTCCGATTTGCGCCCAGCGCTGGTCGGACTTGCGCCCAGCGCTGGTGCTGTCAGACAGCAGTCCCGATCCGTCCACCCTAGCCTGACCAGCTGGGCCGCAGATCACTACCGCATGCCCTCCAGCAGACTCTGCTTGCGCTGGTGACAGTCCAGCGAAGCGGCCCAGCAAGGGTGATGGTGGCGCGCTGCTTAATAATGGTCGGGCTCCACTGGCTGGTCGATCGAAGGACCGGGCAGCGTTTATCGAGCCGAGTGTGGCGGGGTGCTTCGTCGGTGGTGTGGAGCCAGCACTAGCCGGGCTTATGCCAGACATGTCACGACACACACGACCGAACGGCAGTGAGACAGGTCATGTCTGGTGAGACAGATCACGTCTGGTGAGGCAAATCACGTCTGGTGAGACAAATCACGTCTGGTGAGACAAATTACGTCTGGTAGGCAAATCACGTCTGGTGAGACAAATCACGTCTGGTGAGACAAATCACGTCTGGTTAGGCAAATCACGTCTGGTGAGACAAATCACGTCCGTCGAGACAAATCATGCCTGGTTGGGCAAACCACGTCTGGTGAGACAAATCACGTCTGGTTAGGCAAATCACGTCTGGTGAGACAAATCACGTCTGGTTAGGCAAATCACGTCTGGTTAGGCAAATCACGTCTGGTGAGACAAATCACGTCTGTCGAGACAAATAATGTCTGGTTGGGCAAACCACGTCTGGTGAGATAAATCACGTCTGTCGAGACAAATCATGTTTGGCGAGACAAATCATGTTTGGTGAGACAAATCATGTTTGGCGAGACAAACCATGTCTGGTGAGACAAATCACGTCTGGTGAGGCAAAACATGTCTGGTGACACAAATCACGTCCAGGATACAACAGAGACCAGGATGCAACACATAACGATGTGCATCATGTTCTGAATCCAACTGACCATGATACGGCAATAGAGTTAAGATAACCTCCTTATTATAATTATATAAGTTATATTCGTTAAGTAAGCGGTAGTTTTTCTATCAAATGGCCATTAATCGTCTGCAGCGCACCGCTGAGGGTAATCCAGCTTACTCTCTTTCTAGGGCCAAAATCTCCAAAAATAAGCGCAGGAGCTCGGCTCGTGCCTACAAAGCCCTACTGTTAATTCTAATGGCATATCGACTTGCATTGCTCAATGACGTCTCTGGTCGCACCTCGTTAACCGGTACCGCCCAGTAACACCATTTCGAAATAGGAGACGAACATTTAGCACCCACAATGGGCCTCGCGCAAAAATAGGACATCCGCGCTCCGGTTGATACACAATACCCCCCGCGGCCCCCTCGGCTGTCTGTTCGTGTCGGAGCGGCGCCTCGCCAGCGATTGAGGCACGGTCAGGGCCGGCAGTTTGTGTTGGACGGGTCTCCCTGGCTGGCGGCTAATCACCATGTCTACCCGCCCCGCTCCACAGGCGCCCGGCTGATGCCACCAAAGGTCAGCAGAAGCAGTGATTCACATGAAAAACCGTGTGATCCCGCCGACCTATACACCTTCTCCGGACCGTCCACGATGACTGGATTAAGGCCTACACCGTGGAAATTTTGTACAAAACTTCATTTTATATACCGGTTATTAATCAAAACGTTCCCGGTTTTTCTGAGCCCCACTGGACTAGCGCCTTTCATCCGTTTTCGTTGTATTTACGAACTACACTTACGACGCAAGCACGACCTTGTTTCTATTCTTTTTGAACCCGTGTCGCAATGCTAATTCAAAATATGAGAATCATCTGTTCCATCCATATACCAACTCAACATGTCCCCAGCAGTGTCCCTCCAGTGGCCGGGACGTCCCGTTTGTATTACATCACGCTACTCTGTGATAATGCGCCCGTCGACATGCCCCAATATATAGCTTCCACACTGTCAGGCCGCACTGCACTGAGATGCTGCACCCGCCGGCAGGTCCAAATATATAGCTTCCACATTATCAGGCCGCACTGCGCTGTGATACTGCACCCGCCGGCATGTCACAATACACAGCTTCCACATTATCAGGCCGCACTGCACTGAGATACTGCACCCGCCGACATGTCACAATACAATATCAGGCCGCGCTGCACTGAAATACTGCACCCGCCGACATGTCCCAATATATAGCTTCCGCATTATCAGGCCGCACCGCACTGTGATACTGCACTCGCCGACATGTCCCAACATAAAGCTTCTACATATCAATAAACAGGCTTGCGAGCTCGAAGCCGTGCCGCCATAGCAATATGCTATGAAAAAATCCCGTCACGTTGGCAGCACTTACCCACCTAGACGAACAGCAGGTGTTACCTGTCGGCCGGATTCAGACGCGGGTGTTACCTGTCGGCCGGATCCAGTCGCGGGTGTTACCTGTCGGCCGGGTCCGGCTACGGGTGTTACCTGTCGGCCGGATCCAGTCGCGGGTGTTACCTGTCGGCCGGGTCCGGTCGCGGGTGTTAGCTGTCAGCCGGGTCCGGTCGCGGGCGTTACCTGTCAGCCGGGTCCGGTCACCGGTGTCACCTGTCGACCGGGTCCGGTCGCGGGTGTTACCTGTCGGCCGGGTCCGGCTGCGGGTGTTACCTGTCGGCCGGGTCCGGTCGCGGGTGTTACCTGTCGGCCGGGTCCGCCTGTGGGCGTTACCTGTCGGCCGGGTCCGGCTGTGGGCGTTACCTGTCGGCCGGGTCCGGCTGCGGGCTGTCCTCCTCATCCAGGCGGTAGGCTCGCTGGCGAGACGGCGACGCGTCGGCGAGTGTCTGCTTGCGCGGACACAGCACGTCGGCGTACGTGCAGAGCAGAATGTTCTGCTTGCGACGAACGCAGTCCACCATGGCTGGGTCTGCCGCGTCACTGGAACACGGAAATGACTTGTGACAACACTGCGATGGGAGACGGCGTTGTGACGTCACCGCAATAGAGCGCAAACAGTTGCGCTACACCGCTGGAGCGGCAGGGTTCGGAGGCATCGCTGAAACAAGACTCTTATGCGGTTGTCCGGTCGGCGCCTGAAGACGTGGCGTCACCCGAACGGGGGACGGGTCGAGGCGTCGTCGGAACGTAGCGCGGCGACTGGACCAGCGAACGGTTCTGTGACGCTACGGGCAGGGAGCAGTCTTTGAAGTCAGTAGACGGGGCAGCGCTGGGAGTAGTCAGTAAGCATACCATGGCCAGCTGGTGCCGTCACCCGCCCGCATGACTGCACGAGCTATTTTGGCGCGAATGACGGCAGTGCCGAACAGGGCGGGGCGCGGTCAGAACAGGCAGCCGCCTGCGAAGCTTCTGCCGAAGGAGCGCTAAGGCCCCGCCGCCGACGCATAACCCGCCACCATCCCTAGAACGACTCTCAACCAGGTAACGCCACCCTAATGACCAGCGACATCCCACGAGCCGATCACGCCCCGGCTGCCGGGCGGTTCCGGCATCCCGGCCTTCGGTGTTGATGCTAGCAGGAGCAGCCCCGTTATCAGGGTCAGCGGGCTGGCCGGCGCTCGATCGGCGCCGATGCCACAGCAGCCCAGGCTGCGGCCGAGCCCTCAGGCGGAGGCGCAAGCTGAGACCGAGACAATGGAGGGTATGCCGTGCGAGCGCAGCCCACGGCGCGCGCGCGTTGAGGGCGTGCGATTGGTCGTGAGCACGCATACCGCGGTCGCTCACTGGAGCTTAGCCCCGGCGCCGGCGGCCCGACGGGACCGTGACCTGGCGGGGGCGTCCCCACGAGACCGTGACCTGACGGGGGGCGGCCTCACGAGACCGCGACCTAGCGGGGGGGGGGGGGGCGTCCCCACGAGACTATGACCTGGCGGGGGGCGGCCTCACGGGACCGCGACCTAGCGGGAGCGTCCCCACGAGACCGTGATCTGGCGGGAGCGTCCCCACGAGACCGTGATCTGGCGGGAGCGTCCCCACGAGACCGTGATCTGGCGGGAGCGTCCCCACGAGACCGTGATCTGGCGGGAGCGTCCCCACGAGACCGTGACCTGGCGGGAGCGTCCCCACGAGACCGTGATCTGGCGGGAGCGTCCCCACGAAACCGTAATCTGGCGGGAGCGTCCACACGGGGAGTCTCCACGAGACCGTGACCTGCCGGGGGCGGCCTCACGAGACCATGACCCGGCGAGGGAGTCCCCACGAGACCATGACCCGGCGAGGGAGTCCCCACGAGACCATGACCCGGCGAGGGAGTCCCCACGAGACCATGACCCGGCGAGGGAGTCCCCACGAGACCATGACCCGGCGTTGGAGTCCCCACGAGACCATGACCCGGCGAGGGAGTCCCCACGAGACCATGACCCGGCGAGGGAGTCCCCACGAGACCATGACCTGGCGAGGGAGTCCCCAAGAGACCTGGCGGGGACGCCCCCACGAGACCTGGCGGGAGCGTCCCCACGGGGGAGTCTCCACGAGACCGTAACCTGCCGGGAGCGGCCTCACGAGACCGCGACCTGGCGAGGGAGTCCCCAAGAGACCTGGCGGGGACGCCCCCACGAGACCTGGTGGGGGCGTCCCCACGACACCGTGACCTGGGGGGATCCCCACGAGCTCATGACCTGGCGCTTGGCCGTGACGAGGCAACAGCGACCTGACAAGATGGTAAAGGTCGGCTCGGTGTTCGGGTGTCGCCCAGATGGCTGCCACATAGCCGGCATGATTGCCGTCTGTTCGCCAGAGAGCAGCCAGATTGTCCAGAGGGCTTTCACTTCGCCAGAGGAGCCGTCATGCCGTCCAGCAGATCACAACAGAATCAGTCGACGGGTCACGTTAGATCGCCACCTCAAACCGGTCATTCCCGTGCGTTCCGTTGAGGGCCATCACAGGCCACCGGGCACTCGTCTCGCAGTCAATGCCCATCATTCACACTGATGGCAGGACCAGTCACAGACCATTTACAGGCCAGTCCAGCCACCAGAGCACCCACCGGCGCGCCCGAGTTTGTAAACAGCATGTCTCTCAGGTCACCACACTCACACGTTGGCCGGAACAGGTCACTACCTGACACGGGGCCGGGGCTGAGGGCAGCGCACCGGGCGGCGGCCGAACGCCATGCCCTGCCCTCGCCACCGGTCCGGGCCGACCGATGCGCGCAGCCGGGCCCGGTGCGCGGCGCGCCCACCTGTGCGATGCGGCCGTCGTCGTCGGCGGCTGGGCTGGTCCGTCGGCGCCGCGGCCGGCCGGCTCTGACTCACGCGCCAGTCCGGGCCGGCTGTTTGTGTTGGCCGCCGCCGGCGCCGCTGCCGCCGCCGCCGGCTCGTCTGATGCCGCGCCTCCCCTCCGGCAGCCTGCGGGCAACAGCCAGGTCAGCAGCGTCGTCCGCAGGCTCGCCGCCCACACCACGGCCGCCGCCAGCCAGTGCCAGCACATACCGAACCCGACGGCTCCGCGCGGTGGTGGGGGAGGGGGGGGGGGCGGAGTCCGACCACGGGTGCAGCGAACCGGGGTGCAAACAGAGCCAATACTGGGAGGGGAGCGACGTCAGCGTCGGTACCCGCGACATAGTTCCCGGACCTGATGCTGGGGCAGAACATGGACTTCGTACCTCTTTGAGTTTAATGCCTCGTAAATTTGCTCAACATTAATCCCGCCCCTCTGCAATACTAGAAAGAGCTCCGGGTCAGAACAGAACATCGCCAGCAATCCCAACCAAGAGAGAGAGAGAGCAATGCCATTTAAGAATTCGACATCCTCGACGATCAATTTAATAAGGCTGAAGCGCTCATACTCCGGTCCACAAGTGCACCGGCCCCGGGGATTAGCTTATCATGTTCTGAGCATTGTTGAATCGCGCCCTGAGCCCGTGTCAATATCGGGGCTCAATTATTTCGTATCGGACTCAATAATGACCTCGGCTGGATTTGGAACAGTTAATATTACAGCCTAGAGTAATGAAGGCAGAGTCAATCAAACGGCACCTTCGCTCCGAGGGGACATCAGTCAATAACGAAACTGCCTGGGACATCGGTCAATAACGAGACTGCCTGGGACATCGGTCAATAACGAGACTGCGTCAACGGACGCTGAGTGGTGCGCCCCCGCCACAGCTCCATCTCCTACATCATCCGCACGTCACCAAGCGCCAGTTCGTCCTACAGCCATCACAGCCGGCGGCCTGCTGCCTGAGCGTGAGCTGCTGACCCGTGTGGCCAGAGCACCGCCGATCTCGGGCGGTCCGGCTGGAGGACCGCGGACCTCGGGCAGTTCTGGCCGGAGGACCGCTGACCTCGGGCGGTCCGGCTGGAGGACCGCGATCTTCGGGCGGTCCGGCCGGCCGGAGGACCGCGGGCCTCGGGCGGTCCGGCCGTAAGACCTCGGACCTCGGACAGTCCGGCCGGAGGACCGCCGACCTTGGGCGGTCCGGCCGGACTCAGTACGGCACCGCTGCCGGCCGCCGCCGTCGGCGCCTCTGGCGGGGGTGACACCACCGGGGAGCAGCGCCCGCCAGGCCCCCTGGCCGAGAGAGAACGGGCTGCTGGGGCGACGGAAGACGATCCGACGGCGGGCAGTGGAGGTGGAGGCGGTGCTCATGTCCCCTTTGCAATGCGCTCCCGTTACAAAATGTCAAATTTTGCTACAGGATGTCGGCAAACCTACGGTCTTTTAAGCTCCATTGCTTTCCTTTATTTGCAAATTAATAAGCAAAGTACACACCAAACTCCGAAATCCGCCACAATAACGACAAATTCAACGTCGGTCAGAACCTGCTTATATTCGTGGGAACTGATTTCATTTGGCTCTTAAAACTTAAACATTGATGAAGGCAGCAGTCAAAAGCTCGAAATAATTCGGAATTTACCTACGGGCGCTGTTCCAACACAGAGCTCTCTCGTGGGTTTCATCAGCCAGCTGTCCACGGCGTGAAATGTGTTTCTTTGCACACACGAACTTCGAAGAAGCTTTTGCAGGGTAGTCACCATTGTTGACCCTCCTATCACAAGAACCGCGGGGGAGGCTCCCCGCCCCCTCTCCCGTTCCTACGCCCACGATAGCTGCGTAGGCACGAGCCGAGAATGCCAGCTGCTTGCATCAAACATCAAATCCCTGATCCAACCTCACCTGCCGTGCCCGCTCCCTGCCGAACACCTTGGTGCCTTGCCAGAGGTTGCCCGCGGTCAACTATGAAAACAACAGGTCGGTGGCCGGCCGACAGGAGGGGGCGCGGGGTCACGCGGGGTCACGCGGGGTCACACCGCTGAGGGCGTCGTTGCCGGCGGCGGCGCGCGTCCGGCGGCGAGCTGCTGTAGGGCTTCAGCTGCCAGCGATCGGGGCGAGCGACACCGGCGGCAGCCAGACACCGTGCCGGCCAGACAGCAGCCAGACAGCAGCCAGACAGCAGCCAGATAGCAGCCAGACAGCAGCCAGACAGCAGCCAGACGGCAGTCAGACAGCAGCCAGATAGCAGCCAGATAGCAGCCAGACAGCAGCCAGACAGCAGCCAGACAGCAGCCAGACACCGTGCCGGCCAGACAGCAGCCAGACAGCTGCCAGACAGCTGCCAGACAGCAGCCAGACGGCAGTCAGACAGCAGCCAGACACCACGCGGGCCAGACAGCAGCCAGACAGCAGCTAGATAGCAGCCAGACACCATGCCGGCCTACAGAGGCGAGGAAACGCCCAACAACCAACATCTGACTGAACGGTGTTGCAAACGTGCCCCGTGGTAAGCGCTGGGTTTGTGGCATTCAAATATAGTTCCAGAGACCCCCGCCTCGCCGCCATCCTGCCTTCCAGTCGCGGCGGCGGATGTCACTTCAGCTCACGCTGCGTAAGTAGGCTCGCGCCCAATGGTGCTTCGTTGCACCTCCTCCACATCAACAGGCATCGCAATAACAGACAGGCCTAGGCACTTTGTTTTGAGTGACGAACGTTTACGCATAATTCGCGGATGTAACGTGCCATTTCACTTTGTATACTTTCGCAAAGCTCCGTAGTTCATACAGCACGATAGTGTAACAGCAGCAGCAGCGTCCATTTGCCCTGATGAAATCGACGTCTGCGTGCACATGTGATTAGTTTTGTGACTGAACAGCAAGCCTGCCTTGGGACTTCCATTTCTGAACCCCCCCCCCCTTCCTACCCCCCCCCTCCCACCGCACATTCTTGCCAACGCTCCTAAATGACAGCGGGCCTGCGCCTTCCTGTTTTGAAACAACGAAAGACAAACGCTCGACTTGCAGCATTCCACAGCCCGAGTCGCGACGTCACCTGGCTCGTGTGACGTCAGAGCCTGCCGCCCCCCCCCCCCCCCGCCACCGACAGGCCAAGGACGCGTCCGCGCGCACCACCCCCGCCTGGGGTCACTCCGCAGGCCCGCCCCCAGCGGCCCGGGACGTCCGAACGACCCACGTCTCGTCGCGATGCCGCCGTACAAGCCCAGGCCTGGCAGCACGTGTACCCAGCCAATGGCGCGTGCACTGATCGACTTGTAAGTTATGGCACGAGTGTGACCAAATTCGGCGATCCGTACAATTTTCGTCGGTACAGAGCACCGAGGTGAGTGCAGGGGAAATATTGGCAAGCGTCTTCGAGGCGCATGCCGCCACAGTGAAGCCGCGATCCAATGGAAACCCAACTCATAACGGTTAAAAGTCGCAGGCGTTGCGCGCAGTGAATGATCTTTATGTCGACACTAACGATTTGTGTGCCAATACTAACGAGCGGAACGGGTCCAAATCCAGTTCACCATGAAGAGCAGAAGTCAGCGCGTTCATCGTGTGTGATTCTCAAACTGTCAGAGGGGCAAGCGTCCCCTGAAACGTGCCGAGCGGTACGGGCGCGCATCGCTATGAAAATCGGGGAAATACCTTCCTCATCGTTGCCAATGTTGGTGCAATGGCAAGATTCAAATGAGTCATATTTCATGCCCGAAAACATTCACTAGAGCGTCCAAACGATTTAGCGTAGGCCCCCCCCCCGCGTGAGGAGGACATTCGTCACCAGGGTGCAACGCCGTGTTTGACTGCGCAAACGCCGGTCGAAGGCCGGAGCAAACTTCCGAACGCCGACTCGCGCGCGAGTACCGGTGCACTAGGGGGGGGGGGGGGGGGGCAGCGGTGAAACTTAAAGGTTACGGGGTCAGGGCCTTCCTAATATGTTAAATGCCGCGTGTCCATCTTCCTTTACGAAATCCTGGATCCGCCACTAAGCGTCGCCCCGTCCTAGCCCCGCCATATACGCAGCCCATTCGCTGCACGTCTTACTGACCTTTTTGTCTGAACACAAGAGCAAAGTGGCCTACATCTGCGGTGAAATTGGTCTTGAGGGGCACGTTGGACAAATCTTTACTTGCTATCAGTCATATCATTGGGTTCAGATCGGCCAGATGCACGGGTGCTTTCGGGGTGGTTCGGGCCTGATATTTACAGCCTATGGGAGCCGCATCAGTACGGATCGATGCTCATCAGTGTAAGCTGAACAGGCACTTTTTCGGCTGATACCGCGCTCAGATAGGAACTCGAGATCGGAGATTCCACCTCTTAGATTAGAAGAACGATTGGAGCTACATGCTTTGTGCTTTATAGTGGGATGCTATCTGCACAACTTGTTACTTAAGGTATCAAACTCGGCGCTCAAGCTGAGGTCGCCGCTGGGTCACTCCGCATGACCTGGCTTGACATGTCACGAGCTGTCGTGCGCAGATGCCGGCCGGCCAAGCGGCGACCTCTGGACCAGGGGCACAGGCGTCGCTCCCCACACCGCCTGAAGACATATGTCTAGCATTCGATGACATATGTCTGGCAGTCACGGCTCGTCAGCAGGTGAGCTGGCAGCGCATGGTCGGCCGACGCATCGCGTTCGAGAACGCTCGTCGCAGCTCAAGGTCACCAGCGGCGCTGCCAAATTGTATCGGGCGCGCTGCCAGACTGTATCGGGCCAGCTGCCAGATCCTGGTGGCTCGCAGCACGCGCGACCATGACGCTCCTCAGGCGACCATGAGTTGTTGAATGCTTTCACGGGTTGAATACGTCCCGCCAGTACCCCTCCCTCACCCGGGCGTCGAATCACCCGAGTGCCAGCGCAAAAGTATGCGCTATATTGCACAACTGATCCGGCGCCCTTCAAAGTCATGCGAACCGCGGCACGTGGGTATGCAGGAAACTCGTGTGCTTGCAAATTGGAAAGCACACAACTCTTTGAGTTTCAGTCCGAACCGTTCCGAGTGGATGGATTTCTGGGATCAGAGCGCACGCTAAGCAGTGCTTGTTGTGTGAGCACTGGCCCTTACCATCCGGTCGAGAAATTCCAGGTTGTCAGACCTTGTTGGAAAGAAATCAAC